CCCCCCCCCCCCCCCCCCCCACACACACACACACACACTTGGCGTGGGGTTCGGGGTCCTTCAGCGGGCCTCAAAAAATTTTGGGTATTTTAGAGGGCGAATGATGCCATTTTGTACGCTTTAGAACTATGATTCAGCTAGTCAAAATTCTAATTTCAAGAGGAGACCAGAAATTGAAGGGGCTGACCCACAAAAGAAACGGTTCTGACTGAACAATTCAACTGTATCGATTTTCTGACATTGCTTATATTCCGCCTCTTCAGGTTAATAACTTTGATTATACTCTGATTCAGAGGGTGACACTTCCATTGTCCGGTGTGTGCATATTCTTGACTAGTTGTGTCTTCCTGAGCCACATGCCCCTCCCCCCTCTCTCTCTCTCTCTCTCTCACACACACACACACACACACACACACACACCCTGTGATGCGTGTGTGTGTGTGTGTGTGTGTGTGTGTGTGTAAGAGTGTGTGTGTGTAAGAATATTTTACAGTACTCCTTTATTTAATCTCATTCGTAAATTTTTAAAATCGCTGTCACGGTTAGGTTTCACTCACTTCAAACAAATATCGACGCATATTGCATACCAGCATATGGATGTACATTTTACATGGTCCTGGCATTTTGTCAGTGGTTAAATCAGATGCTGGCATATCTTTCATATGAAAACAGTTGGTTACATACATCCATAGATTTCAAATAGACATAAATATACGGAGGGGTCCCTTTTTTAATTCCGCTTGCTAAGCAATGCGTGTAAATATTAATACTACATGTACTTTTCAAGTTCAATGTCAAATAGTAACAGTGGATCTCTATAAAATAATGATGACAAATAGTTTATTCATAATCAGACTTGTATCAAGGATTAGGAGTAAAAGAGAGAGTCATTTATTTATTTATTTATTTATTTATTTATTTATTTATTTGTCAAATTGGGTCCGTCTATGTCCAACTTAGACATAGAAATGTCGCCCCTTCCAAAAATGAAAAACAAAACAAAAACAAAAAAATTCGTCCAGCTACCAGATTCGATGAATAGGAACATAAATGCTTCGGCACAATAGAATTTACTTGTCACCTTAACACAAAAAGATACCAAAATGCTGCACACAGCTTAGATGTCTGGCACGCCTATTGAAGCTGCTAAACGTTAGTTTATTACCCCCTATAACATCTTCAGTATAGGCGTGCCAGGTATGAGAGCCGCTTAAGCTCAGTGCAATTTAACGAGGAACCCCTTGGAGATGGCTCGATCCTGCTAGATCGATCTGGGTATGGGAATGGGGTTGTACTCTATCCTTAGAAAATTCGTTGTCGCACTTGTCCCAAAAATTTGCCCCTTAGTGAGATTGTGTAAGACCCCATTGGGACCACATATATAAAGGATAAATAAGTACATAAGCCTAACCTTATAAGATAACTTATCCAATTAATTGCGTATAGATTCAATCTCAATTTAAAGGCATCGTGTCCAGGATTTAATTCTAATCTGGCTTTTATTTTTTGACAAAATTTTGAAGGAATATTGTGTAAATAAATTTGGTGGTTAACACCTATAAACATTCAAGTATCTTATACTGGATTTTTTTTTGCTCAAAATTTTCCTCGAGAAAAAAAGCAACTTCCTCCTACCAACAAATCATTGCTCGAACCAGCCACGCAGTTGGATCCAATGTTATCTATGAATTCAAACACTAAGTTCTAAACGTATCATGACTTGTTCAGGCAAACATATTTTTCTGACATTTCAGAAGGACTCTAAGTACTTTCCTTTGCTGGGTTTTCTCGTTCTCAAGGCATGAATTGGAAAAGATAAGTAGCTTTGCTGGATATGTATATATGAAAACAAGATTTTAGGGCATTTCAAAACGCGTATAGTACTAATATAAATATAGTCACTAGGACTCCTTAGCCAATTATCAATTTGACCAAAATTAGTAGCCTACCTTGTTGTTCGATTTTGACCTTCGAGGAGATTCAGCTTATTTCTCTTCTACTTTTGGCCTGCAGTCGTCCCTTGTGGAATTTGCTTCGTCGATTTCGCAATTTCACCGAATTTGATTCCACAGCTTAGCGCTTGCAGCGCTATATACGTTTTTACCCCGCCGAGGCGTTCGCCTCAACGTCATCTTTAAATCCGCCCGCATTATGACTTTTTTCTTGTTTTGCACGCCAAACAATACGTGCACTGTAGTAAAGATATTAATACAGAACATAGTGCGGAGGAGTTTAGGATGGATTGACTGGTATCTCCAGACAAAATCTAATTCACTTTTGAAAAAGTCACCATTTGAAACTCACCAGGTGAGACATATCTTTGTCGGTTTAAATAACAATTAATCTTACTAATAAAGAACGATCAGTATGCGTAGATGTCTGTTTAAAAACAGATATTATTATTATGTCTGAAACAGATACATTTGAACTTCTCACAATTCAAAAGTCCTTTTGGATGACGCATTTCAGAGTGATTTTCGTTTTATTTGGACCACGTGTGAACGGACTTCTCATCTATCTGTGCCTATGTGAGATGAACATAAAATGCGCGGAAGTGTATACGCAAAACAGTGTATGTAGAGTGCATGTAGGGCGTAGTATCAAAGAGCAGCAAACGCCGACACATTTTTTTTTTTTTTTTTTTTTTTTTTTTGCAATATCGAGGAAGTGGGAGTTTCGCCCGTGTTGTGAAATTAGTATTCACCTTCATACCTTTTTAAGTAGTAACGTTAACTTAATGTGAAACGGATTTATCATTCCAGCGGAAATACGACAGTTGCAATTTGATTGCCAAAATTTTAATAAACGATAGGAGGAAAGAGGAAGCAGTGAAAAGGGGAGATGGGACAAACTATTCAGAAAAAAAGTAGGCAAAAATGTTCATTAGCTTGGTAGTTGGATCATAAATGCAAATTATAAAACATCTTACGTATGAAAGTTTATCTTGTGTATAAAAGTTTTTCGGCTTATGTAATTTTCATTTAGTTTCATGTAATACTTAAATGGCTAACTTAGTTTCATATTTGAGATTCTTGGGCCTATCCCGCAGATTGGCAGTAATACGAAAAAGTCGTTACCAGTAAACGTCTGCAACATAAAATTTGTATGTAAAAAAACGGGTGTATCGCATTTTCTTGGTGACTTTATACACGTTTTGAAGATAATTTGTTTCAAGTGTCATCCGAAAAGTGTGTATAAAGAAACGTGATAGACATTTTTACTCAATACTACCTAATTATATAAGAAATTTTTATTTTAAAATCTTTAAAAGCAAAGACAGATAAAACATAACCCGATTGTGCACGTATACACTGTAAAAACAGTGTTTAGCTCTGAGACACATTTCTAAGCGCCTGTTTTGTCTCTTTTTTTTCCACGCGTTTAGCACCTAAGCACGTTTAGCCTATTAACATGTTACACGCTTTGACGTGCTTGACGCCTAATAAATGTAGGGTGTATTTGTTTAACTTTAAGGTTGTAATGTTTTCAACTGTTTCAGTCACTCTCTCACAGACACGCGCGCGCGCGCGAAGTTACGGTCACCTTTAACTGCTATAGCTATCTCTATCTATAACAGGGTACCGTGAACTGTCAACATAGTTGATTCACACCATCATCTTTACAGCGGGACTTATTCATCCTTGTGTTAGCTGACCTTGCGAGGAAGTTAATTGGAATATATTTCTGAAAAACAAGTTAGGAAAATTCACTAGTTTACTAAAGACACGAAACAACTATCACTTTTACTTTAAAACATTTTTTTCATATTTTGATAAAATGCGTTAAGGTATTGATGTTCATTTATTTTTTTTCCGGAAGTAATGAACAATAGAATATCAGGATGATGGTGGGGTATTCATTATAACGGTTTATTTAAGCTTTCATCACATGCTGGTTATTTTGGTAACGATAGTCCGAATATTTTTCAAATCGCACCGCTCTAGTCGCCGACTGACCCAAGCCCATTTTGGAATTAACCGCTAACTGTAGTTCATACAGCATAAGACGTGTTTTTGGTGATTAATAAAAAAAGTTTTCAAAACATTAAATAATGTTTTTCCAGAATGTTATAAAACGCTTATAAAACTGCAAGGGCATCATTTTGCATGGAGTTAAAAACACCCATAACGTTACCATGACGTTATTCTATACCATCACCATCATGTAACCAGCTGATAACGTCGTGAAAACGTTATTTGTTATTTGGATTATTACTTAATAGGCCTATTTTAAATAATCACACGTTACTGCAAGGAAGGACACAACGCGTTCGAGCAGGCTGCTTCTCGCCTCCAACAGCCCCATATGTTTACAAGGGGAAGTGTTAAGCAAAATTATTGAGTCTTGTAATAAACTTGTTATGGGGTATCTATGGGATTGTGAAGCATTTTTTTCTGTGACGAGTTTGAAAAGCTAAACATGTTGTTTAGCAGCTCCACGCGTTAAGGAATTCCACACCTATAGCAGCTCCATATGTTTAGCAGCCTCGCGCGCTTAGCAGAGGAAGTGCTTAGCCAATGTGCTTAGCTTGTGATAGACTTGTTATAGAATCATATGCCGGTGAAGCTAAACACATAGCTAAACGTGTAACAATGCCAACGTGTCTAGCTTTTTCTTCTGTGAAACGTTTGAAAAGCTATACGCGTTTAGCATTTACACAGATTTCTAAATGCGTATAGGTGCCTAACGTGTGTTGTATGTATTTAAATGCTCAACACTGTTTTTACAGTAGCAGACAACACTTGACAATGACATATATGTGAATTCTTAGTTTAATCCAGAGACGCTACACTTGTAGCTATCGTGTCTCTTATTTCCCGAAAAAAACCATTATAGTATATCAACATATAATATAAACACTAAAGACTGTATCCAAATAATCTTGCATCTACTTGAAGCACGTCATTCAACACTTCCTTTACGTTTCCGTAAGTCTTTGGTAGTCTTTGACAACACTTGGTATGAAGTAAATACAGGCCCGTAGCCAGGGGGGTGGGGTCGGGGGGTTCGAAAGAACCGCCCCTTTTGCTGGGAAAAAGGTCCACTCTGGGTAAAATTTGATCTAGGCACATGAAGTTTTTATGGGAAAAGGTCCACTTTTTCTGAAAAAGAACCCCCCTTTTGAAATTGCTGGCTACGGGCCTGAAATATGACGTCCAGGTTTACCCAAAGACGCCACACTTGCAATTATCACGTCGTGTATTTTCTCGAAAAACCATCATAATCACTTACATACACTGGTATTGTTAACACTAAAGTCTGTATCCAAACAGTCTTGCATCTACTTTAAACACATCATTCAACACTTCACGGTACGTTTCCGGAAGTCTTTGGTAGACGTACTTAGCCAGTTCTTTCGTATTGCCTCGAGCATGCTTGTATCCTTTGCCGTCGCCGTTGATGAATTTCGAGTTAGGAAATTGCACTTTCGTCCCAATTAATTTCAGGACGTTTGCTGCATCCTCTGTCATGGTGTCAAACTCCCCAATGATGTCGTATTTCATTTCACAGGGATTACAGAGTTGAAAAACCTCAATCCAGTGATCAAAGAGGCCAAGATCGTCTTTTAGGTACTTTGATACGGGGTCGTACACATCCATTACGTGACGTATAAAATCGTCAAATTTGACTGTTGTATTGGCATCGCCTAGTATTCTATCGTCAAACTTAACCGGTGTTGGATTCTTTGAAAGTCTGTTGTTTTTCAACTCCCTCCAGTAGTTGGGCACTTTGCCATCAAATGTTTCCGAATCAGTCATCATTCGGAAAAACGACACAAGCCTTTCGAAGGGATGCCGTACAAATAGTACCTTCAGATAGTTCTTGTGCTCGCTGCTATCCCATCGCTGTAATCTTTGTATTTCCAGATCAAATTGTTTTGATATTTTAACTATTTCAGGTAAATTTTTAGCATTGAGATATTTCCCAGCTAAACGATGAAAAACAACTCTCCAGTTCATAATGCCAACTTTTGGAACCCCGCAGAAAATAATTCGATTGTTGTCATCAATATAAGTATGGAATATTTTAGATCCTCTCGGGGCATAAGGTGGCGTGGGTTTTTCATTACTGAAAATACCCTCTCTACTGGACGTCCGAGTTTGTCGAGATAGCGTTTCGTTCGCCATCGCCTGACACTCGTGTAGCAGCCTGGATCGTTTTGCCACCATTTTGTCAATCCACAACAGCGGGACCGCACGCCAGTTGTGGTACTGCAGAATCGGAATTGTCCACCGCCAGCTTTCTCCTTCCAGTTGACTGCAAAACACAATGTTACGGTGTGTATTCACTTTTTAATCTTTAAATTTATTTTTTATTCAATAAAGATCTTAGCTTTTAGCTATTGTAGAATTAAATTAAATGCCTTATGTGATTCATTGTTTGGTGTTGTTGATCTGCAAGCTGTGACATAAACTTATTTTAAGAATTTTTACCAAATATTAAAACGAAAAGGGTGAAGATATATATAAAGTTGTTAGAACTAGAAGTCGGTTCGTTAATGCAAGACAAGCCTCTATGCTAGCACTTCATTCATTTAAGAAATATTGTAACAGTATATACTTTAGGAAGTCCTTGATCTACACATGTATAGAGAATATCATTCTATTAAAAGGCATAAGAAGTAAGTTATTACGAAAACCTCTTAGTGTTCTAACTGCTATATTTTTCTTTTCTCCATAATTACAAAATGAAGATCTAGATGTTACAAACGCATAATTATATTGAATAACAACTTCTCTTTACAAGCCACTCTTTTAATACATGTATTTTTAAATCATTAAAATACATAACGAGCAACATGCCCAGCATGCATCCATAAATCTATTAAACTGAAAAATGAAACTGATGCCTTGACTCATATAATACTACAAACACATATGGTCTGATACACAGAACCAAACAGATTAATTGGCCTAAATCTTTAAACTGAGAAATGATCCTGGGGCAAGTCGGCACACATACTAAAACAAAAAAAGTCATTTTTATCCATTTCTATGCATTCTACTCGATAAAAATAAGTAGCAAAAATAATTTTGTAGTTAGCATATAACCACACTGCAGTATTGTTTAACTTTTTTTAGATAAAAAGTGAGCTTTATAACAACGACACCAACAAAAGCACAGCCTCTTTGGCAGAAATATTTATTAAAAAACAAATTTCAATTAAAAAAGGGCGAAAGGAAACACGAAACATATCGGATGTGTGTGAATATAGACTACTAAATAGAAAAAAACAATGTTTCTAAGTCATGGTGAACGGCACATACCCTTTGTCGATTAACTTCTGGTCTCCACGGTTATGTTTTAACTAGTACCAGAATAAAGACGTTCCGAAAGTTGCAGCCGTAATCAACAACACTGTTGTCAGTGAAAACTTCCTCATTATCCTCATCGTGATGGTTTTCACAGATATTTTCGAGCATACGTATACACAAGGGTCTCTATCCGCCATCCGTTTATTTTGACAGGTAAGGTAATGTATGTAGTGTTAAATTTGCCGAAGGGAGCCTGAACTCTTCGTGACGCCTGAAGGACACGCCCATTTTCCGAGATCACATAAATCTTCATCTCATTGCCCTTGAGGTAAGATCTAAAGGGGGCGTCTCGATAGTCCGAAGGTTCATTGGTCCGAAGGTTCATTGGTCCGAAAAGTGGTAAGATTTTCATCGATTTTTTAATCAAGGGTTCATTGGTCCGAAGGTTCTATAGTGAATATTCGGACCAATGAACCTTCGGACTATTGAACCTTCGGACTATTGCTACGGCCCCGATCTAAATAGGTATTATTATACAACTGATGGGTACTGTAAGGGCGTGTGATGTGATCGGGTAAATAGTATAACGTCTGCCAAATTACAGTAGGTTCAAATGCAACTGGTGATTAACAGGAATGAAAAACAGCAATTTTGAGTTTGACTTCTTAAGCATCAATTTAGTTTTAATATTTAAGCTCTCGTCTAATTTAATTCTGCCTGATAATTACAAATAATTTCTGTTAACATTGTGCAAGTTCAACTTATGAGGTGCAATTGTTGAATAAATTACTATTATTACTCGGGGGGGGGGGGGTTCCGGTGCGATACAGATCACCACTGGCTAGTAAAAAAAAAAGGAGACTAAAAACCTCACGGTTGTTCTAATTGCGGCTAATTGTGGAAGTACATCAAGCTCCAGATTTTCGTCTGAAAAATTTATCCATGCAGTTTTTGCGAAGGACTTTTCGGTTGACAACTTAACCACAAGAAAGCATTTTCTTTCAGAATGTGTTTCTCCCTATTGTTGATCTGTAGGAAGTAATGGCCTGTTAATTGGTTTACAACAAGAATTTGACTTTTGCCTATTTTCAAATTTTAAGTGACACAGAAAAACAAACATCTAAATCTTACAAATCAAATAATTTATTTCTTTGTGTATGCAACACTGTTAGTACATCGCAGTTATGTTGAAACTTCTTTGGCTGCATCTTCTAACAAATATCTGTTGTCTACAAATCATTCATTTCTGGTTAAGCCAGTATACAATAAATAAAATATGACACAATAAAATATATAGGTCATGATTTGCATATCATATTATTTACAGAAGTAATTACACGTTTTCTGTATCAAATGCTAAATACACCTGTAGCATTTGAGCATTGCCCCCCCCCCCAATCATATCAGACAATGAGTCCACTGACTTCTTATTATATTTACATTTAATGTTAACTGCAGCTGTCAATCCATATAACGTTTGACAGATAATTTAGTTTCACAAAGGAATATTGAGGTAGAAATTGGTCATCATATTACATGACCTCTGATACAAATCCATTGCCTCATAAAATGCACTATTTCATTTTGTCAAAATACTATCATGCTATCAATTTACTTCATTGCTATTGCTAGTCGTTTCTTTTATTTTTTCTGATAACTATAGTTGTTTCTTTTCTTTCATGATTGTAGCACCAGAGTAATATACTGTGTTAAATATCATCATCTGATTGAAGTAAATATATATATATATATATATATATATATNTTCCCCCCCCCCCCCCCCCCCCCCGCCAACCCTTCAAATAACCCCGGATCCGCCCCTGCTTAAGGTGTACATGTACTGTACTGATGCTTGTTATAAAAATGCCTTCAGTACTTTCAGCATTGAGTCTAACTTGTACTTTGACAGGACAGATATTTGTGCTACTCAGTATAAAACAGGTACCTGTATGCTACTACAACACCAGTATAGTTTGTTATGTCTAGGATCCAAAACAAGGTGTAGGATTGTGGGTTTTATTATTAATAATTTGAAACATTGGTTGTGTCAGTGGCTGTAAGTCACAAATTTCTGCATAAGTAAATGTCCCTACAGAATTTGTTAGTCATTTTGTGCATGTAGTTTTGTTGTTTGAAGCAATGATTGTTAGTAGCAACACCAAAACAAACAAACTGCAGTAAAAAAAAATCCTTACCATTCACATGAGCCCTTCTCTGCTGTTATTCCAGAAAGTTCTGTCACCAAACCCATGATACAAGTCTGTGCTTTCTTTGTGACATAGGCACGACATCCTGTGGGGTAAAAAAAAAAAAGAATTCCATTCTTAAAGATATAACTATTCACATTATACCTTATTTAATAATTGAACTTAGCAGCTGCAAATTTCTAAAGGTGGTGAGAAAATTGCAGTTTACTGTACACCATTATCAGTATAATCCATCATATCATAATACTCATGATGATAGTGACTTAGGCTCTATTCCCATAGATTTTAGATCGATCTATCCCCGCGGGGAGTCTCACTAGATTACTTTCAGATAATCCGACTTAAATGTCCGTCCCGCCTACTACAAGCTCTAAGGGGGTAATTAACTTTCGTGTCCGCCCAGCTGACAGCTATTTAGCGTGAACCCCCAGGGAGTTAGGTCTAATGTCTGGAAATGGGGTGTTAGATGTTTATAAAAGAATAATTGAAAATGCTGGATACTATTTATAAGATAAAAAGTAGGATGACTGTATTTCTCTTTGATTAAAATGTAAGATTTTTGGATAAATAAAATAAAACTGTCACAACAGTAACTTCTGTTGCCCTGGAAAATTTTAGGTACATGTATTTGGTAAAGTGGCATCATGAAAACATAATTTTTGTTTGAGCCAGTTTACTATATCATCAAATAAGTAAAGACCCAGAAAGAATAACAATAGCACAAATCTATTTTCTTTCATCTAAGCATTACTAGTGCGAGCACATTTTTTCCTTTCATAAACTAACCTTCAGTCACTCCAGGGATTTTCAGACCTTCAGGATTCCCAAAATTTCCGAAAGGTGGCAAGCTGGCATAGCTTCTTTGTGCATCCTTGGAGACCAAAACCATACTCAACCTGTAAGAACAAACAGTAGACACATGTACTTAGTACAGTGGAAGTACAATACTTGACTGCTTGCTGATAACTAATGTGAAAAGGGAAAAATTATTTAAATAATTAATATTATCTTTTTAATTCAGTTGTTATAATTATTATTTTTACTACTTCCCACAATTCAAAATAAAATATCTTTCTAAGATTAAATGAAGTATTGACTGTAACAATGTTGTTGCAAGGAGAATGGCCTGGTAGGCATGGATAGGTGATCACATACAGACGTACACACACACATGCACTATTTCTTACTCTCTGTATCTCACACATACACATGTGTGCTTACATGCTTGATTTATTCTCTGTCTTTCTGGCTCTCTCTCTCTCTCTCTCTCTCTCTCGATCTCTCACACACACACACACACACACACACACACACACACTGACACATTTTGTTCATGCAAAATTACAAAGAAACAGAAAGAGAACTGAGAGTGCTGAGAGCAAATGTTTTATGACGTATTATCTTTCCTTAAAATATCACCATGCAGATAAGACCCCCACCCCTGCCCGCATATCCCTGTGTACACCAAAAATTTACCTGAGAGAAAAATTATTAACATGCAATTATATATACACCATAGAGATTATTCTATCACAGGACTAACTCGGGCCTAAATATAACTGTACCTACTGTTTACCAACCTGATGATATCAAATGACCAAGTCCAGTTGTGGGCTAAGTTTTACTTTGCATGAACATACTCTAAAATGGCCTGTTGCTTAGCAACCTAGTTGCTTGGCTACCAGTACCTATACAGTTGGGCTACATACATGTACTTGTAGATTTAGTTTAAAAATAAGGCATAAACAATTTAGCTAGCCCCTAATTCACCTTACTAGGTCAAACTGTGGTGTTACGTTGTATTACTTTGAAGAAAAAGCAATAGAAAAAATATGTCTTAAATATGAGGGATATCATTTGTATTATATCAACTAAATATGTCATGCATATTATACTACATGTTGTACTCATATGCATAACATTCTACTTTTATAAAACTGAATTTAAAAAAAAAGCGATAACATGTTCTGAAGATTCCTCTTGAAGAAGAAACCATAACCTATATTTTTGAGCATGGCTTTATTTGTTGTGTGGTGGTCATTTCTATGACACTAGCTAAATTATGATATGGTGCTAATTTAAAGTTCAAATGAGGAATAGTATATATGATTTAACTATCAGTGAGCACTAACTAAAAATATTCTGTACAATAGCCTTTGTCTAACAACACTGAGGGCAAAAAAGCAATTTGCTAATATTTGGTCTTTAATTATATGGCATTATTTGTTATTAAGTTGTTGTTTTCTTCCTTTTTTTTCACAAACTATCTAAGAATTTGAAATATTGATTTACAGATGAAAAAAAGGAAACAATAAAAATTATGCAAAAGAAAATACACCATTCATGACTGCCAGGTAGAATAAACTAATTAAGGGACCTATCAGCAATTAATTAATCTACTAAGTAATGTCAAAACACTTGTCCTAAGTTAGAAATCATGGGTGCATACCTAAGATAAATAAGGGCAACAATGCTCCTGAAATATAAAGGAAAAGTAAAATAGCAGTATGACCATATAAAGCATTAGTTTGATAGGCATTTAATTCCCTCATGAAAAATGTTATTGGCCTTCGAAACAGAAAGCAAAGCTGAAGACTGTTATGCATTTGTGTATGAGAGGTTAAAATATATGAACTTGTGAACTAAAAATAACTGTGAAGTATTGTTGAAATGAGAGAGCACATGCATGATTGCAATTTGCATGCATTTTCTTGTTTTAACTATACTCACCACACAGTGGCCCAGGCATATGAGAATTTCATGGTTCCGATGATTTCCTAAATAAATAGAATTAAATATTATTGCACATTTCTATAAAGTTGCCATACAATGGTGGATGTAGGGGGGGGGGGGACCCCCCCTTCGATTTCTGGAAAAAAAATCACACCAAAAGTCCCCTCTAAAAATTAGAATTTATATTATCATAGCTCTAATCCATACCAAACACCACTGTTAGCCCTTTAAAATAACAAAATTTTTCAGACCCCCACACCAAGGGGGGGGGGGGGAGGGGCGACTTGGTATCCATAACCCCCCCCCCCCTTCCAATAATCTTGGTTCTGCCCCTGTCATATAGATAGATAGATAGATAGATAGATAGATAGATATAGAATCCTGTGAAGATTGCACACATAGACCAATCAGGAGACACAGTTCACACACTTGGAGGTTTCAAGACATCAGGAAATTTTAGAGTGAGAATAAAGGTATGAAAATGTGTATCAGTGCATCAGCTCAAACCCCAAACAATAACAGATGTCTTTTCAAAAGGATATGCTAGAGTTCGCCTACAAGTATGATGAAGATGCTGAAAGTGAAAGAAGCATTTAAATCATAAGAATGAGACAAGTGATAATGATAACAATAGCCAATCTTCCCATAATGTAGGCCTACATTTATAGCCTACAGTTTGAAAGTTTTCTCTAGGGGCCTCTCGGATCATCCGATTTTTTGCAAAATCTAAAGCCAACTGGTTTTAATTTTCATTATGCTAAGGGGCAGGATTTGATAGTTAAAGGCAAAGTTTCTGTAAAAAGGATCAAAATCAAAACGACTTTGCACGACCTAGTTCGATATGTTGTGGTTTAGCTAGGTAGATATGCGTGGCCCTTCAGTAATTAATTGCTCATGCCAGAGATCTGTTTTTTATAATCTCACATATCAGACATCGAGTCTAAATGGTGATGAGCACTTTAACAGCCGCACAAAACCCAAAAGAAAGGAATATTGGACAAAGTGTGTTTAAGTTTGAGTTTCACGAATGCTCCAGTCGCCATCTTTTCTTCCCGCTAGGTGACGTCATAACTTTCTCTGTAATTTCTTTATTATCAATATGTGTCTAATAAATCATATTTAAAAGATTATGGCTCAATTATAAATGTATCATTTGACAATGGGGTTTAAAAGAATGATATGGGATTGAAATAATGATATTTTAAAAAGAAAAATGAAAATATGAAATCGCCCAATGTGGGGCTCGAACCCACGACCCTGGGATTAAGAGTCCCATGCTCTACCGACTGAGCTAACCGGGCTTGTTAGTCTCTTTAAGTGCAGAAATTTGCCCTATTCAAAAAATTAGGGCAACAATGTAAAGTTGGCGCCCTTTTTGATTAAATGGTGTATATAAAGACCTACCTGCACACAATAAATTTGTTATGGATTATAATACACAGAATGACAAAATCTGTTATTGCACCTTATTCTTCGCTTGTTCATGCTCTCCATTTTTACGCTTAAAAATAATTTGAAATATTCCTGTGGGCCCATCAACCCAGTTCAACCAAGGAGTTAGGGTAACTCCTTGGTTCAACTAAGAACGCCTTCGACGTCCTAATTTGGTTTAATATAAAAAAGGAGTTACAGCTGTTGTAATTCCTTGATTTAAATAAATTAAAATTACATATACCAAGTATTTATTCTTCATAACTGGCCCATGCTTGTTCTTTTGTGTGGGACTGGGGCGTCTTAATATGTAGGCCTACTGATAGTGATGACCTTCAAATTTCTACTATAAGCCTACGTGGATAGAAGAGAGTCGTGATTATTTGACGACCACCGATAGGCATCACGGGCATGATAAGATTGATTAACATCTTTCTGCGGGTTAATTATTCCTAGTTAATTTGTGCGTGCTTCCGTTAACACTCGAAGTCTCATGATCTTGAGAGGGGGGGGGGGGTTAAAAACTAACCACATAGCCTAATTCCTCCTGAGTTTTTTTTTTTTTTTTCTTTTTTTTCGTTTTTCTTTCCTCTGCTTTAGGTCTACCGTTATCATTTTTAATGTGTATATTTTAATCGTATAGGGCCTATTTTTAGATAGTTTGTTTCTCCGGATTAGGCCTAATAGCCAATAAGCCTATAGGGCCTAGGCCTACCTTGCGCTTTAAATAGAACTATATAGGGCCTGTGATTCAGCTAGTCAAAATTCTTAATTTCAAGAGGTGACCTCTCGGCGTGATTCTTTTCAGAAATCGCATGGGGGAAGCAAGACCACCCTGACACCCCCTAAATCCGCCATTGTACGGGCGATTCGACTGACATGACCAAAATGGAATCTGTTGGGACACCTTAAACTTAATCAAAATTAAGTGTGGTGCCTAAAATTTCTTATAAGGATTTTGAGGCAAATTCAGCTTCAAAACTTTAAAGGGTATAACAGTTTGTTAAATGTGTAGGCCCTACAGCAAAAAAAAAAAAAAAAAAAAAAAAGATTTGAGGTACAGACTGTCTACTTTGTAGGCCTTCGCCTCCATCAGTTTGTTCATCATAAAAAAAATTTAAGCTACATTAATGGTGGGCGCTATTCTAGTACGAATTAAAATGACGAAAAAAAAAATGTAAATTTAAGAGTCTGGTGACTTACTTTTTGTTACCCACAGTTAATAAACAGTGGACCAAGGAATGCTGCTGGCGGAAATAACTTCAACAGAAAATATTGTAGACTCCGTTGTAATTAACAATTTAAATCAGTATCAAAGATGGCGACTTGATTAATTTCCATGTTCAGAGATCGGAATGTCGAGCACTGACCATGAGGCAAAGAATGATAGGTGACCGTTAAAAATGACTTAAGGGTGAGACGACAAATTGCTTAAGGCACGCATGCCTAGAGAGTTTATTACATGGAAGACGCATATTGCTTAAGTATTTTAATGGATGCGTTAAAAAGTGCGATCTTTTGACGACTGTGGCGGTGATATGAAAATAATTTTCAGAATAAAAGGAACATCTATATAGGCCTACATGTATATTTAATGTAGAGTGTAGTCACATTCCCTATGATGGTATTATCAATCAATGCGCTTGTCCCATAATATTTGGAGATTTCACAAAAGCTCACGTTAACTGGTGTTTGAAATAAAAAACGGACAATGCTTCAATTTTTAATTCCACAGCATATTTCAAAATGATGACAGTTTTAAAACCAATAATTCAGCGTGGGGGGAAGAAACGACATTAACGGGGTCCGTTATAAGATGGAACCAAAGCTGTGCATATCACAAGAAAATGTGAAAAACGCCGATTAATATATTTTATAAAAAGACGAAAACATCCTTACCTTGCAATTGTACAGAATTCGTTCCAAGTTGCTGCTCTCGACTCTGTGGAAATAATCAACTGACTCGCTTTCTTGAGTGCTTAACGTTTTTGTGACTAAATCATGAATATGTAAGACAAACTTTTATATCAACTTAATTGTACTCAGTAGTCTGAGAACTATATAATTTACCTCATTTTCCGTCTAGGCTGTAAAACCACGCCGAAAACTGATAACGCGAATTTACACAGGGACGCGAAGATAGAGACATTAATGGTGTAATTACCGTATGCCTTTTAATCTTAAAACTGATCAAATCATTTGTTGCGGAAATAAAAATATCACCACATTATTCTATTCCTCCCCCGAGTAAGTGGCCTTAATGGGTGACGTGGTCTTAAAGTGCATGGGCAAGATTACACGAAGCTTTCTCCTATTGGCAGTGCATAACCCTGAATAATTAATTAGTTTTGTTTCTTATCAGTAGAAGTGGTAATTTCCCTGTTGATTCGTGACCAGACCGACCTACAGTACGTGGCGTTCACTAGTTTGATGCTTCTAAAACTTTTTTCATTTTTCTCTTGTTTCATTGTTTTTGCTTTTAAATTTTCTTTTAATTCACTGATTTATTTGTTCACTTATTTGTCAACTGTAAGATTTTTAAATCAGGGGTCGTGCTTGTAATTTACACCATGTACAGTACAGCATGTACCTGTATTGAACTCTATTCACCTATACTCTCGGAATTCGTGTGTACAATGGCTATTTCTATTCTATATACTAGTATTATGATCCGGAACTCGTCAACGATACATACTACACAGATTCTTAGATATACGTATTAGTTTTTATTTATTTATTTATTTATTTATTTTCAAACTAAGATCATTTCTAAATGTGCTCCACGACTTTTTAAAGCAAATGTGTCCTCTTCTGCAAAAAAAAATCTAGTAACTTCCACTGTACATGGGTACCTGGCTTATGTGACTAAAGACGCAATTTACCTCCTTTAATTATAACTCGTCTCGGTCTTTTGTTCTCAGAGTCGACATAAGAGGAAGGACCACCGTATCTACTCTGATATCAGCCATCTTGATATATGTAGCAATGAAAGGAAAAATTCGCAATCAGAATAAGTAAACTACAACTGCCTCTTTCGGCTTTTATCTCAACCTTGATGTAGCGATTGTTTGCCGCAATCCTTATCACAGCACGGGTTGTATGATCAGATGATGAAAAAACCGGCTTTCATTTTTATCATCGACTTAAAATCACTTTAAGTTGTGACTGGTGTTGAAAGAGATTTTCACACGTGGAAGAAAACTTAGGCCTATACCTTTCTCTCTTATCTCTATCAGTCAGCAGACTAGTAACTTGATTAAGCAGTGTATTATATCATTCAGCATCAAAGATGTGGCAGGCCCGCAGGCGGGTGATGGGGGGGGGGGGGGGGGGGGTGAAGGTCAGCTCTAAGTCACTATCTGATCAATGTGATCTGCAACATTGATCCACTTCGAATTTTTAAAGCTTTAGAAAGGTCCATTTTTCCCCATAAAAAGTGAGAAAATCTGAATATTGTGTTACGCGGACATTTACAGCACCTCTTAGCCATGCTGATAAAAAATAATACCTGTCTGTAATAGTCTACCGTTACATGTGTGTCCTTGGGTCAGCTTGGGTCAGCTAATGCATGCTCATGTAATCTTAGAATTGAACATGTATAATCAGTAAATCTGGACATCTGAACGCTTCAATGCTTGTCTTGCTACACTGAGTGTTAGCTTTTTGCCTTAGATGACCCAAGATACTACAGTACTGGGGTACCTGGTATAGTATGTATGTTCAAATTAGTTGAACCTTTTACAAGATTTATTCTTGTAAGTTATAAAATAATATCAGAACAATAGGATTATCTACATACATGTATATTTAAGATGACTTTCAAAAGTTAAGATATATTTCTTATGAACTTTTTTTCATCAATTACATAATTTTTCGAAAGTCGGTTTAGCGATTGCGTTTGTTGTTCAAAGCCCAGTGAACCGCCAACTACAGCATTCATACTTTTTATTGGATGGGCAGTGCAAATTGTGGTCTATTGCAATTAAGCCTAATAGACTCAAAGATGCTGAGATATGCTGAGTGATACAAAACAAAACAAAACACCGACAAATTCTTATCAACCCCCCACAGCCCCCCTCCCAAAAACACAAAGTCAACGTCAAAAATTAACTTTTCACTGTTCCCAAATAAATATATCATTCCCACAATACGTTCCTATACATGTGTCCGCCCTAGATTGATCTATATATATGTTTTCTTCCCTAAACCCAGTAGAACACAGCAGTAGTAAATGCAATACCTTGAACGGTGGGTAGAACAAATCCATAATTCGTAATTTGTTTTCTTGAGTACCAATACGAAAAAGAGGAAACAACGTAAACAAAAGCTAAGGAAAAAATTTGTTTCGGTGATCTAAAAGTCAACTATAATTATCACAGCTTTACTTACCCGATCTTTTTATTTATTTATTTACATTTCAATGTGCTAAGCCTAACCATAAACGATGTGGGTTGATATAGCACTGGGACGGTTAATCATACGTGGACACTCCTTGTTTCATGTCACCGGGCACAAGGAATGTACCACTAAGGGACTATTCCCATACCCTATCGTACTTGCAGGATCGATCTATCTCCGAGGGGTTTCTTGCTAAATTTCATTTAGTTTAAGAATGCACAAAAGTTAATTACCCCCATAGAGCAGCTTCAGTGGGCGTTACATACATTTATTAAAACGCTTAAACTGAAGGCAATGTAGATCGATCCTACTAGTACGATAGTTTTATAGAAACGCACTCTAAGTGACACTGTCTATATGATTTTACCTAGCACAGTCGCAGTTTGTGATATCTGTCTTGTGTCGTTCATCCATTCATTTTGCATGAGTTATGAAAAAGCATTTTAGCAGGTGTGCATAAAGTTGTAGCTTTATTAAACACAGGGCTCCGCTCTTTAGGGTCGTTAACCCCTAGGAATGTGTTTATATACATTTTTTTAAATAATGATCCGCTGGAATATGTACGCTGCCAGTGTGGCGGTGCCAGGTGGCGCATTTATACCTGCCAGGTATGGCGTGACTTCAGCGGTCCGTGACCAAATGGACAAGTTCGGACCTTTTTAAGGTCTGTAACATTAATACTGCTTTTTTAAAAATCTTTTTACCCTTTTTGTACATATTTATCTGTTAATTAAATCATATTTATGATATTTATTTATTTTGATTTTTTTCCATTTTTTCGGGGTTGATAATGATAATGATATAAACTCAGAAGTTTATTTTATAGAAGAAAAACAATGACGGCCGAGGCGAGACTATGCAGACCATCCTTTGAAAATTATTGGAATTTCACGTCATTAGTAATCAAAACAAAAAAGATGGGATTATAAGAGGATAGGGGGCACCGTCTTGAGGTACATGTTCATAGCTCCCAGCGATTTACTTTAGAAATCTTTCTGATAAGGATGGGGCTTTATACTCCAGTAATTTCTTTCTAATGACTGATACTATGGTGACGCAAAAGGTAAGACAGAACATAGGAAGAAATCAAAATGGAACCAAAATTGCTGATATGACATCACAAGTAAAACAACGATATTTTATCCAAAGACAACGATTTCCATGGACATTTTGATAAAAATGACAACAACCAGTTTTATATAAAGGTATTTTAGCCTATTGGTTAACACAAATAAGTGAGAATCATCTAAAAAAAAGCCTAAAGCGAGGCTGTTGGCAATGTGCGACGTCGGTGCAATAGTCCGCCTGAGGTAGGTTAACTTTTTGTGCGCCAAGGATAAAACTATGTATACGCGAAGTACAAAAGAGACAGGCAAATTCGCACTTTTGTGTAACAGACATTTTATATAGCTTAAGAGAAAACAACTAGAAACTAAACGTGAATAAATGTGAGGTTTTATTCGTTGTCATGTCACATTCGCTAATGAATATGTCATTATTTCTAATCCCCACGCCCCTTCTATCATGCCAAATATCGCTTGATTTTTCACCAAGTTACGAGATTATGGGCTGTCTCGGATGGTTCCCATTATATATACCACGTTCAACAAAATGAAACACACTGCTTTCAAGTCCAAGATAGATATCTGTGATCATATCCACTCCCTTGTAAAGTAAAATGCTTAGCCTAGTCCACTAGAGGACCATAGAATGTGTTATGGGGGCTGCTGGGATCCTCCCCAAGGAAGAAATCTATAAAGGCGCGACTGAACTCCTCCAAACTTATCTTTCCGTCCTTGTTGGTGTCCAATGCGTCGAAAGCGGCTGGAGACAGCTCTACTGGGATCCGGTATGCAAAAAAGAATCCGGCGTGCTCTCTCTGAGATATAATCCCGTCGCTGTTCATGTCGACGGCATTGAATAAAGCTCTGGCTAGGACTGGGTATTGCTCCCTCCACGGTGTGTTCACAGCGCACAGAATATTTTGAACGAAATCTTCCTTAGTCACGCGGTCGGTGTCTGGGTTACCCTGTCCGCGTAACACGGCGTTTCTCCAGGCACTCAGTCGAGCCTCAAGTACTTCCTTCGCTTTTGGATCTACAATAAGGTTTGATGAATATTTGCGTGCATCAACACACAGTACACCAGGTTTTGGCACTGTTATGAACTTATTTACCCTCTTTCATTTTTAAATAGCCTGACTTTAGGGCTCTTAACAGGGTGACATGTTTATTTTGATATTGTAACTAAATTCAGCCTCACAAATTGCACTTTGTATGTAATGTTAATGCATGTATATTTGAAATGCCTCTCACTTTTGTTCGGCTGCAGCCAAATTATGAAAATTTCGTCTATAATTGATCAATTTCTCTGATCATTATTTCGCACTTTGTCAGTCATGTCTAACAGTTTTAATATAGCATAAAAAATCTACGTATTCTTTATATGAAGATACATACCACCCTCATTTAGACTGTTGAATTCTACGTCTCGCTTCGCCATTTGAATGAAGTCCTCCTTCGACAGATATTTATTGCCATCTGCGTCGCATCTGTCAAATAATGTCTTCATTTTTTTCCGCCATATCTCAGATCCCTTCACTTCGGGATAGGATCGAACAAGCTACAATACAAAAAAAATCATTCATTAAATCACTTGGCGTACTAGCATTGCGCGGATATGGGTTCTTTTCAGCTCTCTGATACCGTTTATGCTAGCTAGTCTGAGCGGCAGTGAGAGCCTCTCCCCCTATCCTCGCCCCTCTCTCTCTAACACACATAGGCTGTTTTCTGAGTCAGATAGTAACTTCAAATTTAGTTAAGAGAGCAATTAAAAAATTTTCAACAGTTTTTTTTTTCTGCGAAAATAACATTCGGGCATGCTTATGACATATCTCCATGTTGATTATTGGCAGAAGTCTGTATGCCATATAAAGAGCTATGATGAAGATATCGAGTTAGTGTTATTGCCCAGCGTTTTTTAGATACCGTGTAGTGAAAACAATTATTCATGTTGAACATATTGATTGTCTAAAGACGACCAAGGCGGTTACCTCTGTCACCGCTGTATGCGCCGGATTTGGTCGCACTGCAATGACTATTTCAAAACTGACCTTTAGAAGATCTGTCTGCTCCATACTGATCTTTTTTCCTTCCTCTGGGTTCAAACGTGCTGTTCCCTTCTCCGGTGTCAGTGACCGCTGAGCTCAAAAGCGGGGTTTTATAAGAACCAGGGACGGGACGTCATCGTAAGAATTTAGGCTTACCACGTGACTGAAGCTGCGTTTGGACTAGGTGTACTTAACACCGGGGATCGGGACTCACGTCAACCTGTATTATGAGAATTAAAAAGACACGAAATTGTAACAAGTAGGCACAACTTCCGATCTAAATTAGTCCTGTTATAAACAGAGTTGGAGGGTACGCCTACAGTATTTTTTCCACACTCGAAAGTTTGTCTGAATTAAAAATATAATAAGGAAAAAAAGATGTGTTTTATGCTAGGTGCATTTTTATGTACATTCACAGATGTGTCTGTACATATAGCCGTCACCTGCGTCTGTTGTCGCCGTGCACTTTCAGTGATCACGCGTGTGGAAATAAGTGGAAAACCGTTTTACGTTTTGTCTTCAACAGAACTGATGAATATTCATAAAGTGTAGGTCAAGTTCAAATATCAGCATGATCGAGCCATCAGGAAATTATTTTGATTAAATTATTTTTCTTGAAGTTACACATTTTGTGTATGTGAAATGTTAATTTTTCACATTCTGGCATTTTCTGGGGGTGACTTTGGTCTTCCAAACACCTGAAGACCTTTGCTGATCAAACTTTCCAAATATCTGTGCTAGCTTCCTGCAGCGCATGATTAAATATTGGTGGTGATGATGCTGTTAAGCATTAGGTAATGTTGCATCAAAATTGAAGAAGTCCTATTTTGCAACTAAGAATGATTCTTAGAATTGACATGCAGTTCAAATTGGAAAACCAGTTTTATTCCATAATTATATTTTCTCGAATCAATGCCTATTTTGTAAAATTTTAATTTTTCTCATATTGGCAATTTCAAAGTGTGAAATAGAAACTTCTTGGGCCTGAAGACTTATGCTAATTACATTATATATCATGCGTGTAACCTGTTGTCCATATTAAATTGAAATTTGGTGTTGATTCTGCTGTTACGAATTATGTTATATCGCATCAGAATTGACAAATTCACCCATTTTGTGCCCCTCTCCCGTTAACTTCAATGATAGCACACATATGGTATAATCGCTTTCATAAACAAGATTTACTGACGCGAGGAATAATGTTCAATTTTTCTCGTCACTGGTACTTTGTTTTGATGATGATTTATTTCGCCGCCAGTCTGCCCGTGTAACATGCAACCAACTAGAAGAATTTCAGTGGCATATCCAAAATATAAAGCTCGTTTCCACTTTCCACTTTTCATCCACAATGAATCATTTTTGCCAGTACAACTATGATCGTGCAAAACAAACTAATGTCAACATGGGTTTGTGGCAGCAGCATCAGACGCACTTTCAATAGAACATTTGGCCCATCTGTCATGATAAAACGATGTCCCGGTTACAAGGTCAGACTGAGTACGTACTGGTAGCACCAGCCGGGTCAACGTGCCCAATCAGAACCAGCTGCCTCGTTCTAAATTAATCACGTGAACTGGCCAACGGTCAGTCACATATGAACAGAGGAGTGACAGCATCACGTCATTTTGCGTGCACAAGGATAAAGATAAATAGTGCAAGGATTTTTTGTCTCTTTCGGAAGTTTCGTGCCAAAGACACTCGGCTTCAATTTCTTTATAATTTTGACTTAAGTTTACTTTAGCACTACAGGGGTGGATCCAGGATTATTTGAAATGGGTCGGCGGATGCGAAGCAGGCCCTCAACACACTCCCCCCTTTCGTGTAGGGTTCCGGGCCCGGTGAAGGGAAAATTTTTGGTGTTTTAGGGTGCTTTCCCAGAGATTTAGATCGATCTAAAGATTAAGTTTTAGACCGACCTAACTCCCTGGGGGTGCACGCAATTGCAGTCAGCCGAGCGGGCACCATAGCTNCAAAAAAAAATCATTCATTAAATCACTTGGCGTACTAGCATTGCGCGGATATGGGTTCTTTTCAGCTCTCTGATACCGTTTATGCTAGCTAGTCTGAGCGGCAGTGAGAGCCTCTCCCCCTATCCTCGCCCCTCTCTCTCTAACACACATAGGCTGTTTTCTGAGTCAGATAGTAACTTCAAATTTAGTTAAGAGAGCAATTAAAAAATTTTCAACAGTTTTTTTTTCTGCGAAAATAACATTCGGGCATGCTTATGACATATCTCCATGTTGATTATTGGCAGAAGTCTGTATGCCATATAAAGAGCTATGATAAAGATATCGAGTTAGTGTTATTGCCCAGCGATTTTCAGATACCGTGTAGTGAAAACAATTATTCATGTTGAACATATTAATTGTCTTAAGACGACCAAGGCGGTTACCTCTGTCACCGCTGTATGCGCCGGATTTGGTCAATGACTATTTTCAAAACTGACCTTTAGAAGATCTGTCTGCTCCATACTGATATTTTTTCCTTCCCCTGGGTTCAAACGTGCTGTTCCCTTCTCCGGTGTCCGTGACCGCTGAGCTCAAAAGCGGGGTTTTATAAGAACCAGGGAGGGACGTCATCGTAAGAATTCAGGCTTACCACGTGACTGAAGCTGCGTTTAGACAAGGTGTACTTTAGACCGGGAATCGGGACTCACGTCAACCTGTATTATGTGAAATAAAAAGACAAAATTGTAACAAGTAGGCACAACTTCCGATCTAAATTCGTCCTGTTATAAACAGAATTTGAGGGTACGCTCACAGTATTTTTGCCACACTTGAAACTTTGTCTGAAGTAAACATATAATAAGGAAAAAAGATGTGTTTTAATGCTAGGTGCATTTTTATGTACATTCACAGATGTGTCTGTACATATAGCCGTCACCTGCGTCTGTCGTCGCCGTCCACTTTCAGTGTAACACGATAAGTGGAAAACCGTTTTACGTTTTGTCTTCAACAGAACTGATGAATATTCATAAAGTGCAGGTCAAGTTCAAATATCAGCATGATCGGGCAATCAGGAAAATCAGCTTGATTGAATTATTTTTCTTGAAGTTACACATTTTGTGTATGTGAAATGTTAATTTTTCACATTTTGGCATTTTCTGGGGGTGACTTTGGTCTTCCAAACACCTGAAGACCTTTGCTGATCAAACTTTCCAATATCTGTGCTAGCTTCCTGCAGCACATGATTAAATATTTGTGGTGATGATGCTGTTAAGCATTAGGTAATGTTGCATCAAAATTGAAGAAGTCCTATTTTGCAACTAAGAATGATTCTTAGGATTGACATGCAGTTCACATTGGAAAACCAGTTTTATTCCATAATTATATTTTCTCGAATCAATGCCTATTTTGTAAAATTTTAATTTTTCTCATATTGGCAATTTCAAAGTGTGAAATAGAAACTTCTTGGGCCTGAAGACTTATGCTAATTACATTATATATCATGCGTGTAACCTGTTGTCCATATTAAATTGAAATTTGGTGTTGATTCTGCTGTTACGAATAATGTTATATCGCATCAGAATTGACAAATTAACCTATTTTGTGCCCCTCTCCCGTTAACTTCAATGATAGCACACATATCGTATAATCGCTCTCATAAACAAGATTTACTGATGCCAGGAATAATGTTCAATTTTTCTCTTGTCATTGGTGCTTTGTTTCGATGATGATTTATTTTGCCGCCAGTCTGGCCGTGTGACATGCAACCAACTAGAAGAATTTCAGTGGCATATCCAAAATATAAAGCTCGTTACCACTTTCCACTTTTCATCCACAATGAATCATTTTTGCCAGTACAACTATGATCGTGCAAAACAAACTAATGTCATTATGGGTTTGTGGCAGCAGCATCAGACGCACTTTCAATAGAACATTTGGTCCATCTGTCATGATGAGAACGATGTCCCGGTTACAAGGTCAGACTGAGTACGTACTGGTAGCACCAGCCGGGTCAACGTGCCCAATCAGAACCAGCTGCCTCGTTCTAAATTAATCACGTGAACTGGCCAACGGTCAGTCACATATGAACAGAGGAGTGACAGCATCATGTCATTTTGCGTGCACAAGGATAAAGATAAATAGTGCAAGGATTTTTTGTCTCTTTCGGAAGTTTCGTGCCAAAGACACTTGGCTTCAATTTCTTTATAATTTTGACTTAAGTTTACTTTAGCACTACAGGGGTGGATCCATGATTATTTGAAATGGGTCGGCGGATGCGAAGCAGGCCCTCAACACCCCCCCCCCCCCTTTCGTGTAGGGTTCCGGGCCCGGTGAAGGGAAAATTTTTGGTGTTTTAGGGTGCTTTCCCAGAGATTTAGATCGATCTAACTCCCTGGGGGTTCACGCTAAATTGCAGTCAGCCGAGCGGGCACCATAGCTAATTACCCCCTTACAGCTTTTTGTAGGCGGGACAGACGCTTAAGCCGGCCAAGCTGACAGTAATCTAGTGAGACTCCCCACAGGGATAGATCGATCTAAAAGTCTATGGAAATGGGGTGTAAGAGGGCGAAAGGTGCCATTTGGTACGGTTTAAAACTATTATTCAGCTAGTCCAAATTCTTAATTTAAGAGGGGACCATTAGAGTGATTTTTGTCAGAAATCGAAGAGGGTGAGGTCAGGACCCACCTGACACCCCCTAAATCCACCACTGTTGTTGGCAGTGCGTCACCTCATACGAGACTAGAAAACGTTCCGGAATCTGTGTGAAACTTTTCAAACTATGCGCCGGGAGACTATGCGCCGGGAATTTCTTTTTTCTTAAAAGAAATGTTTATCACATTGAAGAAATAAAAACATATTATAGTTTTAAGAAAAATTGCAAATAATTTGACAAAAGCAGAAATAAGAAGAAAGTCGTGATTAGTAGCTTTTAATGGCGGGGCGACCATCAGCAGGTTAGTTAGTCGGCTCTTCTTTCACGTAGGGTCCGCCATATTTGATCCGTGGATCTGTAGATACTCGGACATTCTGTTCTGAATGAGGCCTTACATTGGGTTTCAAATACAAGGTCCTGGGACTTTGATACACTTTTTGGGCATATATCAGGTCCTTCGGACCCAACATTTGATGTTTCGTGGCAAATTCACATCATATTTTATTCGTCCATATATGCCAATAATCTTACTCCTAAATCTAAGTCTGATTACAATTCGGCTTTCTTTTTAAATGATGAAAAATATACTTGTAATTTTCGAGACCTACGTATTAATATGTACCTCGTTTGATCGCAAAAGATTGGGGTCTGCTGTTTTTAAGTTCCTGAGACGACCTAGATAGAGGTCTATCGTTAGGCAATTTCACAAAATAGCAAGTAATTTACGCACACATTTTCTGCAGTATTTGCATATTACTTTTTATTTTCTCCTAATGTTATTCCACATTGTAAAGTACTATAGTTTAAAACAAATGGAATAGCTCGGGCAAGTCAAAATTATATAATAATAACACAAATTGTGCATAAGCGACGTGTTTTTTTTTTGTGCAATTACGTAATTGTAATGAATGACCAAGCAACACTGTACTAGTACATCAACGGCTTCAGTACACTCCCTATTCCAAAAGAGGACCGTAGAATGTATTATGGGGGCTGCTGGGATCCTCCCCAAGGAAGAAATCTATAAAGGCGCGACTGAACTCCTCCAAACTTATCTTTCCGTCCTTGTTGGTGTCTATGGCGTCGAAAGCGGCTGGAGACAGATCTAGTGGGATCCGGTACGCAAAAAAGAATCCGGCGTGCTCTCTCTGAGATATAATCCCGTCGCTGTTCATGTCGACGGCATTGAATAAAGCTCTGGTTAGGACTGGGTATTGCTCCCTCCACGGTGTGTTCACAGCGCACAGAATATTTTGAACGAAATCTTCCTTAGTCACGCGGTCGGTGTCTGGGTTACCCTGTCCGCGCAACACGGCGTTTCTCCAAGCACTCAGTCGAGCCTCAAGTACTTCCTTCGCCTTTGGATCTACAATAAGACAAGGGAGATTTGATTATTTTTGCGTGCGTGCTCATGTTCTCGTGCTTTCACGCTTTATATCATTGTTTAGTATTTATATCCCCACATTAAACACTTTTGTGCATGCTCTAGTATATCGTTTCTTTTCACAGTAAAATTAACAAACAGTATACCAGGTTTTGGCCGTGTTGTGAATTGGTCTACTCTTCTTTTTAGGAAACCTGACTTAATATCCTTTAATAAGGTGACATGCTTTATTTCGATGTTGTAAGCAAATTTAGCCTGACGAATTGCACTTTGTTCAAAAAGTTAATATTGTTTATTTGAAATGCTTATTTTTCGACTGTAGCCAAGTAAAGTGATTTTTATCTAAAATTGATCAATTTCTTTCATCAAAGATCCTCAGCCTGCTCTTTAAATCCCATCATAATAAAAATTTCTAATATGACAAAAATTTCTTATACTTTTTTAGAAGATACATACCACCTTCTTTCAGATTGTTGTATTCAGCGTCTCGCTGCGCCATTTGAATGAAGTCCTCCTTCGACAGGTATTTATTCCCATCTGCGTCGCATCTCTCAAATAATGTCCTCATTTTTTTCAGCCATATCTCAGATCCCTTTACCTCGGGGTAGGAGTGAACAAGCTTTGAAAATAAAATACTGGCACGATTATGGCATATCTAAATGTTGATTATTGACAAACATATAACGCGCCATGATAAAGATATCGAATTATACCCACATCCAATTTGCAAGGTGCATTTCAGTCATGGTAAATTATATATGATGTAAGGATGTTTTTATAAATTATTTGAACTGTAACTTGAGGGACTCTGCGTCATGGCTAATGTTACATAACTTATGTTTCCCAGGTTCCCGCCTCTATACAGAATACTATCATAAATTTTTACAACGTTTTACTTGTAGGAGGTAAACTAAAGAAGAAAACTAGCGATGACTGAATTTTGAGTAAAACGTTTCCACAGCTGGACGCTTTGCATTTGTGACAGTAACGCATGTTCCTTTTTGGGGTTAGGCGATGAATTATTATTTTTATTATTATTCATTGTTTCAGGACAGTGAAACTTTGATACAAACTCTTTCATGTGGGACCTTAAAATAACCAAACACAGTTTATTATCTATGCACTAAATATTTTAAAGATCATGCCTGTGACCTCATTTTCTCCTTTATATTGTTTGGGTGGTTAGCGTCATCTCAAGATGAGACAAGCGGTTCACAGATATGAACGTATAGCGAAAACAGTTAGTCATGTTGAACTCATTCCTGGTCTTTACACAACAAACAAGGTTATAATTACCTCTGTTATGTTGTTACGCATATTGTATGGTTTAATGTATGATATCATTTATCTTTTTTTGGTGTCAAAACTGCTTGCCATTCGGGTACTTGCCCCCCTCCCTCCACAGGCTCAATGGCAATCACCTCACGGAGTGCCCTCTACCAGGGCCGCAGTTATTATTGTGGACATTTTTTGCTGACGCGAGAGACTGAGAGCCAAAAATGACTGTCTATTTATCTAGAGACAAATCTGTGAATATCTGTGGAAAATCAATCTGTCGCCCTGGTAGAGGGTACTCACAGAGCGGGTGTTATATGTGTATGAACTTAATTCGTATCTTTGAAGAATATTATTCAAATTTCTTTGTATGCTGGGATATAGCGAACAAAAATACATCTGCATTAAAAGTACGGCAGAAGGCTCTTAACATGCTCATTAAAATTGATATATTCAGTGAGTTTTTTATGGGCAGATTTGGGACGAAAAACACGATATGCAGTTGATACGTACATACATGTGTATTATTGTGAGTGTGCGTCTTGTTTTCACATACGAAAAGAGACACAATGTCAGGACTCGCTACTCACCAAACGTTCTTGTGGGACGCGAATAGTATATTTATAACAAAATGGCCCAAGTATATGTTCTATTATTTAGGGGATAACTTCGCAAGATGCCCGCGAACTCTGGTAAATTTGACGCACATTTCCTTACCAAAGAAACTCAAAATTAACGAAAAATATTGAAGCCTAAGCTAATGCAAATCTTTTACCCATGATGTTGTCATATTTCTTTTTTTTTTCAAAGTGAAATTGGTTCATTTTCCTAAGTAATGCTAGCCGCCAAGACACAATAGTCGGTCACCGTTGTATGCGCTAAAATGACTATTCCAACAACTGACCTTCAGAAGATCTGTCTGCTCCATGCTGATCTCTTCTCCCTCCTAGGTTCAAATCTGCTGTGTAACTTGCTGAGGTCGAAAGCGCGGTTTTATGCGAATGACGTTGATGAGGCCAACAGTTCGAGGTCGTGACACAGTTCCCTTTCTCACGAAAAACCGCAATGAAATAGATATTAACATCACAAACTACCGGTATATTTATTATCACAGAACATTTTACGCATTCTTGAATAATCCATAAACGTGTGGTTTGGATCACTTATGTTATAAGTGATGAAGAAAACGACAATCTGGAGCTTTCAAACCTTTATTCACCGACTGCCTTTTTCATACAATTCCACAAGTATTTATACTCTATTTCCTCTATTTTCCCTTGTTTTCTTTCCATTGTCTTTGCGTGATTACAAGGAATTTTCTATTCTCATGTTGCAAACCACCATTCAACATTTCCTTATTAAGTTTCCAATTTCTATGAGACTTGTTTTCAATTGAAAATATTTAAAATATTATTTGAAGAACTCATGCTTGGACAACATCCATCCTTGGTTTGCATGTGTTTTACACGTGTCAGAAACTTGCAGATCTATTGAGAAATTAGCCAACCAATCGAACTATATGTGACTTTGACATGTTTCATCCTTTCCTACACCGAGAACAATTTCTACACTTGTTGACTCTTACAGAAATTGAACTTACACTCAATAACTCCCTATCCTTTTACTCATTTGATTCCGTTTTAATTATTATCTGCAATTAGGGAAAGTGTAAGTCATTTGCTTTACAACATACAACCCTTCTTCAAAAGAATTCGTCCTCGAATTTTAAAACTTTACAACATACACTCTTTTTGCATTTTTTAAAGCAAAGCAAATACTAAATAACAAAATTTGTAAATTGCCAAAACAAACATGCTATCTCAATGTAGTAAGAGATACCTTACATAAATCTATGCCCCATGCATTAATGCTCAATGTATTTACAAATAGGACAATGTGCCATTGTACTTATAGTTAGGTCAGAACAAATTCAATTCCTAATTGTTTTAAGAATAATTCGTAGTAGTCGAGTATACGTCATTTCTCGATCATCATTCATCAATCAGTCATGATAAGGCTTAACAGGAATATTTAAATGTCACAGTAATTATACGGTAGCTACAACCAACTCGGGTACAATCCATGTACAATATAAAGCTGGAATAATACATTTACCAAAATCCTATGGTATTTGATGCAACATATTTACCATATAATCTTCTTATATCATCAAATAATAAGTACAACCAATTAACTTCATAAAGTCCAACTTCTAGTCCAGTTAATCAAACCTTCCACAAAATATGAACAAAATTGATTCATCTATCATATCAGATGAAAAATTAATCTGAAAATTCGGTTCTCTCTGTTATTTATAGTATAATTCATTTATATATGTTTACGTAAATTTTCAAAAAGCTTAAATGACAAGTTTACAGTTTTGTCATCAATGTAAATGTGATGCACAAATTCGTCAGATTTTGCAAAATCAAATGAAATTAAAAATAATGATAACATACATATTTACAATATTAAAAAGGTTGAAAAAAAGAAAATACAAACACTTTTCATAACATTGCAAAGTAAGTAAAAAACAGCATGCTAAAAATAATGATCATTGTTAACACAAAATATAATGATTATCAATAAGTCATATGTGACAGATATTATTAAAGTTAGTCCAGGGTTTTTTCCCTAAAAGTTTGTTTTTTTGTTAAAATTTCTTAAGAGATTTTAACAGACGGAGCCCTCTCTGACAATGCATAGTCACGCGATATCGAGCGAGAGTTTCTGGTGACCTACTTAAAACCGCGGGAAAAGCAGACAGCAACAACACTATATAACAATAATACAAGATTCATAAGATATATTCGTCTTATTGCTCAAAATGCATTATTATCTACAGTTTGTGCAGTTCTGGACTTCCCGTCATCCAACTCACTGTTCAAAAACTCGCAACTTACGTCTGAGGACTGCATGACGCGTCTGCTTTATTATGCCGCCATTTGTTGTTTGGTCTCGAATGAACGCGAGAATCCGCGTGACATCCCAACGTCATTGGTAACGGATGCCTTGACGACCGGGAAGAAAAGCATCGAAAGCCCGATTGACAAGCACAGGTTTTAGTTTTATTGCAATAACAGTCGTTTTAGTGGTAAAATGCAATATAATATATTTTCATGCGTTATTTGCAATGTATTTCTTGCGGAATTTTGAGTCTCAAAGGAAGAGATATTATTGCTTTAATATAAATCGCCCACAATTAATAAATGGAGAAAAACATATACATTTTCAAATTTTAAAGGTTTATTTCTATGTTTAATATATCTGCTTGAAACCCGACCACCAACTCACAACCCTGAATCATTGTCTTATATGCTGTATAAAACCTATACGTAAACTAACACATTTCATATGAAAAGCATTTCATATGAGAAAAAATGTTAATTATTTAATTTTAATATTTCTATGTGATTTTTAATTTTAAAATGACAATATTGGTCTGATTGACCAAAGTCGGAATGATACAAAGTCGGAATGATACAAACTTTTAATTATTATTTCAGAAGAACAGATGGAATATTTGGTAAATGTTCTCTTCAAATACCTCACTAGTAGTCTCAAGCATTAAACTCGATAAAAGAGCAAATAAACTTGCCGGTTATGTTGATTGCTATTAGTCATTTGAGATCTCGCTCTCACATGGAAGAAAGCCCCTATTATTAGATAGAAGACAGTGTAATTAATGATTGGTTCTTGATGCAAAAAATGACATACGCGGAATTTCATCTCTTTTGTTTAAATTGATATACCAAATTGAAGCATGATTTCATTTAATCAAGAAGAGGCCCGTAGAATGTATTATGGGGGCTGTTCGGATCCTCCCCAAGGAAGAAGTCTATAAAAGCGCGGGTGAACTCCTCCAAACTTATTTCCCCGTCCTTGTTGGTGTCTATAGCATCGAAAGCACCTGGGGAAAGGTCTAGCGGGATCCGGTAGGCGTAGTAGAATCCGGCGTGTTCGCTCTTGGAGATTATTCCGTCATCATTGACATCAAGAGCGTTGAAGATGGCTTTCGTTATGGCTGGGTATTGCTCTCTCCACGGTGAATTCGCAGCGCACAGAACATTTTGAACGAAATCTTCCTTAGTCACGCGGTCGGTGTCTGGGTTACCCTGTCCGCGTAACACGGCGTTCTTCCAGGCACTCAGTCGAGCCTCCCGTACTTCCTTCGCTTTTGGATCTACAATAAGACAGGGAAGTTTTCAAAAAGCTTTTTTTGTGCATGATCAAATTAATCTGCCTTTTTTCCCCAAATTTTCATCTCTAAACAAGGTGGCACCGTTTAATTTTACGGTGATATCAAATTTAACTTCATATATTGGATAATGAACATAAAGTAAATATGCATTTTATTTGACTGTAGCCAAATGAGAAAAAATGTCAAAAAAATGTCAATTTCCCTCCACAAAATCCCTTTAATTGCTCTTCAAACTCTATCATAAGAAAAAAAAACTAGTTTGGCTTTCAGAAAAATCCAGCTTATTCTTATTTTAAGATAAATACCATCCTCTTTCAGACTGTTGTATTCAGCGTCTCGCTGCGCCATTTGAATGAAGTCCTCCTTCGACAGGTATTTATTGCCATCTGCGTCGCATCTCTCAAATAATGTCCTCATTTTTTTCAGCCATATCTCGGATCCCTTCACATCGGGATAGGATCGAACAAGCTAGCATAAAAAGTACAATCCATGAAATCTTTTAAAGTTTCGGTTGCCGTTTACTCTAATGTTTACACCCCTTCTCCACACACACACACACAATACACTACAATACACTGCACTGCACTGCACTATAATATAATATTTACATAAAGCGATAACGTTGATAGTAGGGGCGGGCGTCAACTTCCAAACCGAAACTACGTTGAGTAGGTACAGAGTCCTGACATTTGTCTATTTTCGTATGTAAAAATCCAATTCATTTAAAATGTTATGTGCACGGATTAATTACATATTAGAACTTTCTTTGTCCCATTTCCAGCCGCAATATATCGTCTAGGTGATGTGCCGGGAAAACTCATTGAAATACATATGAAAGTCGAGGCCTACCCAACTACCAGACTCGGCACATAAGGATCCTGAATTAACCGGTATATTGGACCACACTACCCGTTTTCAAGGTGTGTGTCAGAACGCATTTCGGAGTATCAGTCAGAACACCGCCAGGATGAGCCCGCGGTCGTACGTCCTACAAAATTTGTTCTGGGGTATGATACTCCGAAATGCGATCTAACACACACCTTGAAAACGGGTAGTGTGGTCCGATATACCGGTTAATTCAGGATCCTTATGTGCCGAGTCTGGTAGTTGGGTAAGCCTGAGTACATTTGAGACGAAAAAAGTCAATTTATGTCCCCTCCATCCCAATGTTTAACAATTTTTCATAGTTCCATTCACAACAAGAAAAAAGTAACAAAGAATATCGATTACTCGAGATTTGGCCAAACAAGGCCGCTTTTATTATATAACCCCACTATCCCAATCATTTTATCAATTTTAACAATGTAACAAATTGTTACCTGTATTAAAGCTAAAATATTTATATATTAAATATGCAATGAGACGCATCATCCTAAAAATTATGATGTAACGAGTCAGCAAAAATTATTATTTACAAACATTTTTGCACAAATTTCGTTTGTGGGACTGCCACTCTGAGGGCATTTTTGTGTAAGAGACGGGGTTGTGTCCCTTATGGAGTCCGAGTCATGTCAGGTGAGGCATGGTCATATTATCTTACCTGTATTATCCATATTTTTCATTGTAGTTACGGTAGAAGAGAGACATAAAAAGGTGCAGTGGTTGGTAGAAAGGCTAATGTGGCCGTGGGAATAATGCTGATTTGGAAAATAGCAACTCCTTTTGTCTGTTCCAGTTAGATTGGCGAAGCAAATAGTCTGAGTGTAATTCTTGTCTTTACATACAAAAAAAGACGAAATGTCAGGAGTTTTTGACTTACCTATATCTTATTGGGACGTACTTCTGGGGATCGGGTTGTTTATTTACATAATCTTATATACATAATGTAACCAAAAATTATCAATTAGGGGTAATAAAACCCATTAGGTTAGTAATACTAGCCAAAAAGTCGAAACAGATGGCTATTGCTGTCGACTTTTTTTAACAACTAACCTTTAAAAGATCTGTCTGCTCCATGCTTATGATTACTCTCTATCCTAGATTCAAACGTGCTGTTCCCTTTTCTTTTTCGATGCCAGTAACCCTTCAATTTGAAAACGCCGTTTTATATGAACTCACGCCTAGCACGTGACTGAAGCTGCGTTTACTTTTGGTCAGATGTTGGAATTGACGTCAAAACTTCTTGCGAGACTTATAAGAGATATAAATAAAGGATGTATGCTGTAGCGCGTCACCCTCATTATTGCCCACATAAAAAAATACTGAAACGATAAATAAATCATTTTCATTTTTCCTTTGTCATGTTTGTTTATTTTGAATATGATGGTTCGCTGGCTATTTGTGACATGCGGACTACCAGAGAAAAATGAGTTGTAGTAGCAAATCCATAATAATCTGACGCTCCCTCCCTTTTTGCTTCATAATAAATTCGACTTTTAAAATACCTGCAGGGTGAAACCATGATACCATCTTTCGACCACAATGAATTATATTTGCCAGACAACTTCGTCAGAACCGAAGTGATGCTATATCGGTGTATCGTCCGTGAACAGTTATATAAGTGGTACACATATTGGTGATAACTTCATGTATTATTTTTTTACTCTCGAAATCGGCTCTCCTTGTGGCAATGTGGCGTTACAAAAGCATCTACCGGGACCAAGCAGGTTCGCATACCCACCATGAAAACTAAACCACATGCTTTCTTAGAATGTTGATACGAAGCTTAAACCAATCATACAATGAAGAAACATCATGCCTTTTTACTGTATGCTTAGCAGTATGCCTTGTTCATATAACACTCAAAACTTCGGTTACTTATAATAACATTTATGTCACATTATAACATTTTTTTTTCAAATACAGGTTAACCTACACTGTAACTTAAAAACACATGCACTATTTATTGTTTTTCTTTTGGTTGTCTTTCGGGCGCTTTACGGAAGTCCTGTCCGTTGCTTTTGTGTACTTTGTAAATTGTATAAATTTATTTCTTGCTCGTTTGTTTGTCTCCTAACCGAAAGTGGGAAGTCAACAAAGAAAGAAAGAAAACATAGTCATATTTTAGCACAAACACCCTGAGAACTGGTCGAACTGGTCTAGCCTCTACGATTATAAGAACCTCTTAAACTCCCAAAGTGTCCAAACCAGTTGAAAATATCAGGTACACATTTGACGCCGGTGTTGCGCATGCGCTGGTCGTCGGCCGGAGGACAAGTACAACCTGGCTTCTTCACACAGGTCGGGGGTGAGGGCACCATGGCCGGGTCACAGCTACACCAGAACGGACACGCTATAACCTGAAAATAAAGACAGACAAAGACTGCAAAGAGGTAAACTATTTACTAAGTGTATATACAAAGCATAGGTAGCTAGTTTTTGCATCGCCTTACTGCAGACACATTATGGAAATATGGGGGTGGAAATAATGCTTTTAAGGCAACAGCACAGATTGCTTATCACTAAAAAGAGGGAAAAAACAAGAAAAACTGCGAATATAAATGCTATTAAGTACATGAAAGGTGATAATTTAAATAAAAACATTTTCCTTCATGTAAAATTCCGATAGATTGCACCTAGCATAAGTAGACACGCATGCTTAAAATGGAGTTTTACAATTACAGTGAAGAAGACGATTTTATTCATTAATTTGATTCGATTACCTAGGCGAAAAGAGGCAGTAGATATACACTTCTTAAACTCAGGATGGCAGTTAAATAAACGTTAGGCAACGAATTGTATAACAAGCCTACATAACGGAACAAAATCTGAAGTTGACATCTCTCTCTCTCTCTCTTTCTCTCTTTTTCCCTGCTTCAGTTTTTCTTCCCCTCAAATCTCACTGCGCAAGTAAACGTGTGCGTGAGTTTGTGTGACTATGTAGGCCCAGAGATCAATGGCCTACAGAGCTAACTAATCTACGTAATTGCAGTGGCGGAATTGGGAGGGGGGATCCAGACCCTCCCCCTTCGATTTCTGAAAAAAAAAACACACTAATGCTCCCCTCTTGAAATTAGAATTTGGACTAGCTGAATCATAGTTCTAAACCGTACCAAATAGCACAGTTCCCCCTCTAAAATACCAAAATTTTCGGGCCCCTTCAACGGGCCCCGAACCTCACGCCAAGGGGGGGGGGGGTGCTTTTTTTCCGCGGACCCCCTTCAAATAATTCTGGATACGCTCCTGAATTGCGAAAGTAACTTAACGATCTGGCTAATTTTAAGAACGAAAAGGTATATAGGGCCTGCGTGTTTGACATATACCTTTTCGCACGCAATGAGGGGCCCTGCGGAAGTCATCTCACATGGCGGATCTGGTGCGCAACTAAGCTTCTCACTATGTGCTGGCTCCGGACAGACGCAATCGGTGTCTCTAACACAGCGAGACGGCAGAGTGAAGTTTGCTGGTTCACAGTGTTTACCCGTAGGACATGTGATTAGCTGAAGAAAATATTATATGTATTTGTGTTTTGTAATTGTTTTACTTAGTGACATAACGCTTACGAAGATTAAACTTATGGAGACGATGAGAATTTTAAATATGCCATATATGTGCATATTACAATAAATACTTTAATAAATAAATATATATTACCGATTCACATGACATGACTTCGCCGGGTAACGTCGGACAAATTGGCGTGTCCTCCACACAACGGGGCGACCCTATTGGTCCCACGGGTCCCTCGTTCCTGCACACACATCCGGGTAATTGAACACATTTCCCTGGAGTACTGACATACTCTGGTTCACAATGGTACCCTGTGGAACACTGGATAACCTGGATTGGACGAATTTATACGTGTATATATGCTTCATAGTTAAATGATTAAACAGTTAAGTTTTGAATGTTTTAATGTTTTTAAAATGTTATTCGAATTAATGATTGAAAGTAAATGACCTACATGGGTTTAAAATGTTTTTTTACTAGTAATCCTTAGCTAGATACGAAATAAACATTTTTTCCTGGGCCAGGAAAATAATTTAAATTCGGATCGGATACGCCCCTGGACCCGGACACAAGGATGTGCTCCTGTTTAGTTTATTATTTAGCATACCAAACATACCCCCTTAAAAGTTTGATTTGGTAACCATTTGGAAATTAGGCCTACCGGTGTGGCGTGAATGGTACCGGTAGTCTTAGCAACGGAAGTATCTAAACCCATATAAATAGTACAAGTTAGGTTAAGTCGGAAGTTTCAGAGTAAGTAGTAGTATGTAGCCTGTACAAACTAGGAAGAAACAGACCACGATTTCTAGCGGACTACCATTCCTGTCCAACTGACACTTTGCACTATGTAAATGGACCGTTAACTATATTTTATCATGCTCAACAAAGCTGAGTACATATAAATACATAAAGCCAGACGAACTCACGTTTTCGCATCTTTGACGTGGACCAGGAGGTCCAATGCGACAGCTAGGCAGTGGTGCAGGTGCTGACGTTGATGTTGGTGACGTCATACGTGACGTCATGTCTCTCACACACTTTGGCCTTGGTCCAGGCGGCTGAACGGGACATACACAACGAGGGTTCCGTATGCATCTAGGCGCTGAAGGGACATATTCGGGTTCACAATGAAAACCAATGCCACATTGAATTATCTAAAAAGGTAATGGAAATACATTGGTTTTAAATTAATATCTGATTTTTGTAATGTGGCAGGAATCAGTATTTTGCCCGAACCTCTGCTTTCAGTACATGCTCACCTCTAACATTTTAAAAATATATCAAAATGTCTGATGGAAACCTACCGTGCCCGTTTCTTTTTCCCTATTTTTTGTCAAATCTCCAAGCACTTCTTTTCAAACTTATCTACATCTTTCCTTACCACCAAGGATCTTGGTAATTAAAAAACAGCAAAAGGGATCGTCAAATATAACAACATGACTTTTTAGCCCCTTGGAGGGTGTTCTTACGTCTTGGCATCTCCTCCGTGGCCCAGCTGGCCCTCTCAGACAAGTTGGGAGTGGCGGAGATGACGTCGTCGTTGTTGACGTCACTGATGATGTCACGTCTTTCACGCATCGTGGACTTGGTCCTGATGGTTGTGGGCGGCAGATGCAATTAGGAGATTTCACACATCTGCCTGGCGTGGGGACATAATTTGGCTCACAGTGAAATCCAGGAGAGCACTGGATGACCTGAAAGGATCAAAGACGTCCACATCTTTATGTCAAAAACTAAAACCTTAAAATGTTTATAGCATATTGTTCATATTTGTTAGTGAATATGTTCAATGATATTTTACAGGCACATTTTGACTAGGGATCTGGTAAAATATCTCAACAAAAGTTTAAATCAATCAGAAAGATTGGCACATTACATAGTTTATATAAAGGGCTAAAATCTATAGGACCTTTCAGTTCTGCGGATAAGGCTTAATTAATCGTCGACGTACTTATGCGTATACATATATTTGCATTTGCAGCATAACATCATAAGCAAAGATAACAATAACATACGCTTAACATAAAAAAAAACAATAGCACCCCTTACGTTCTCGCAACGTCTATTAGGCCCACGCGGTCCAACTGGGCAACCTGGTAGGCGCGCGGGCAAACGCACGTCTTTCACACACCTCGGTGTCGGTTCAGGCACAGGCTCGGGACAGACACAATCCGGGGTGGATTTCAAACATCTGCCAGGTCTTTGAAATGCTCGTGGTTCACAGTGATAACCGATGGAGCAGTTGAGTACCTGTAATAGTGGAGAAGTAAACCGAGAACGCTATGAGTGTAGCATTTGTTGCAACATAGCTTTATATGGTAACAAAATATACAGTTCTTTGTTTCTTATGGTCTAATTTCTCTCTCTCTCTCTCTCTCTCTCTCAAGCAACAATCTATTTAAATATCTTAAATGTGTCTTACACTGCCGCAGCTGATAGGGGCACTAGGTGGCCCAACTTGACATAAGGGTGGTGACGTAACAGCTGCTGGTGACGTTGGTGACGTCACATCTAACGGTGTCGTCACATCTTTGACACACCTTGCCACAGGTCCTGGGGGGCTGGGACGGCATCTGCAGCTTGGTGACTTTATGCACTGTCTAGGTTTGGTTATGAATTCTGGCTCGCAGTGGAAACCGCTTGGGCATTGAGTTACCTAAGAATAAAATGTTTAAAAAACTGACGCATAGAAAGCTGGGAATGAACGGACAAAAAACTTCTGTAAAGCGCTTTGAGATGGATGTCATGATTGATAATGTGTTAAGGCAATCTCTCTCTATCTATCTATATCTCTTGTCCACTTTAAGGAGGGAAATAATAAAAATAATTAATTACGTTAGACTCTCCGGATAATTGAAATTATTAGGTTTGTTCGATTAAAATTAATGAATAAAAGGCAAATGTTTCAGCCCTTAAAGTTACTACATTTTGGTGATAAACTGTCGATTTATCCTGATGTAGCTCCAAATTATTGGTTCACCTTTTCACACAAGACATTTGGAAAAACTGGATCGTAGTTAATTAAGTTTGGGGGAAAAACTTACGTTTCTACAGCTTATCGGAGGTTCACTTGGCCCAACCGGGCACCCCGGCAGTCGTATAGGCGGGGTGTCTTGTACGCACCGTGGTCCCGGGGTGGGGTCTATAGGTGGACATATACAGTCAGGAGACGACATCTCACATCTTCCTGGAGCTTGGTAAGTCTTGGGTTCACAGTGGTAGCCAGAGGAACAGTTCAACAACTTGATTAGAAAGAAAACATGTACTCAAAACTATTGAATAAAAAAACATTAGATATTGAAATTCGGTTTCCGAGAAGGTCTCTATTTCCTTTGGGAAATGTTTCACATTGGTACATGTACATTGTTACAATACTAAGGTCTTGATTTATTTTTTCTCAAAAATGTTTCACTGGTCTTTTGCAGAAATCAATACTGTCTTAGGCTTTAAATGACAAACAAATGACATACAATTGTACATCACTAAAAGGTGATCAAAATCTCCTGTTATATGGAGTGCCTCGACCGATTCCGTACATCTAAATACTTTGACGTTTGTCGATGATATACGGAAACGCCCGAGATTGACCGACTGACTGCCTACCTCGTCACACTGGATAGGATCACTCGGAGGACCAACTTCACAATACACTGGCGGAGTCACGCCTACTGTAGGTGGGACTTCACGTACGGGCTGAGCGTCTTTAACACACCGGGGTCCAGGGGTGGGATCTATGGGTGGACATATACAGTCAGGAGACGACTTCTCACATCTTCCTGGAGCTTGGTAAGTCTCAGGTTCACAGTGGTAGCCAGAGGAACAGTTCAACAGCTTGTTTAGAAAGAGAGTATCTAATCTTTAAAAATTCAATAAAAAGATTTAGAAAGTGAATTTGAGATACGGTTTCCGAGAAGGTCTCGATTTTCTTTTAAAATGTTTCACTGCGGTACGAACAAAAACTGCCCTGAAAAAACATGCAGTTGTGCGTCAGTGAAAAAAGATAATGAAAATCTTTGCTCTATATTTCGGACTGCTTCGACCGATTCCATACATCGAATCATTTTGACGATGATATACGGAAACACCCGAGGTTGANCAGTTGAGTACCTGTAATAGTGGAGAAGTAAACCGAGAACGCTATGAGTGTAGCATTTGTTGCAACATAGCTTTATATGGTAACAAAATATACAGTTCTTTGTTTCTTATGGTCTAATTTCTCTCTCTCTCTCTCTCTCTCTCTCTCTCTCTCTCTCTCTCTCAAGCAACAATCTATTTAAATATCTTAAATGTGTCTTACACTGCCGCAGCTGATAGGGGCACTAGGTGGCCCAACTTGACATAAGGGTGGTGACGTAACAGCTGCTGGTGACGTTGGTGACGTCACATCTAACGGTGTCGTCACATCTTTGACACACCTTGCCACAGGTCCTGGGGGGCTGGGACGGCATCTGCAGCTTGGTGACTTTATGCACTGTCTAGGTTTGGTTATGAATTCTGGCTCGCAGTGGAAACCGCTTGGGCATTGAGTTACCTAAGAATAAAATGTTTAAAAAACTGACGCATAGAAAGCTGGGAATGAACGGACAAAAAACTTCTGTAAAGCGCTTTGAGATGGATGTCATGATTGATAATGTGTTAAGGCACTCTCTCTCTATATCTTTATCTCTTGTTCACTTTAAGGAGGGAAATAATAAAAATAATTAATTACGTTAGGCTCTCCTGATAATTGAAATTATTAGGTCTGTTCGATTAAAAATAATGAATAAAAGGCAAATGTTTCAGCCCTAAAGTTACTACATTTTGGTGATAAACTGTCGATTTATCCTGATGTAGCTCCAAATTATTGGTTCACCTTTTCACACAAGACATTTGGAAAAACTGGATCGTAGTAAATTAAGTTTGGCGGAAAACTTACGTTTCTACAGCTTATCGGAGGTTCACTTGGCCCTACCGGGCACCCCGGCAGTCGTATAGGCGGGGTGTCTTGTACGCACCGAGGTCCCGGGGTGGGGTCTATAGGTGGACATATACAATCAGGAGACGACATCTCACATCTTCCTGGAGCTTGGTAAGTCTTGGGTTCACAGTGGTAGCCAGAGGAACAGTTCAACAACTTGATTAGAAAGAAAACATGTACTCAAAACTATTGAATAAAAAAACATTAGATATTGAAATTGAAATACGGTTTCCGAGAAGTCTCTATTTCCTTTGGGAAATGTTTCACATTGGTAGGCCTACATGTACATTGTTAGCCTACAATACTAAGGTCTTGATTTTTTTTTTTCAAAAATGTTTCACTGGTCTTTTGCAGAAATCAATACTGTCTTAGGCTTTATTCAAATGACATACAATTGTACACCACTAAAAGGTGATCAAAATCTCCTGTTATATGGAGTGCCTCGACCGATTCCGTACATCTAAATACTTTGACGTTTGTCGATGATATACGGAAACGCCCGATATTGACCGACTGACTGCCTACCTCGTCACACTGGATAGGATCACTCGGAGGACCAACTTCACAATACACTGGCGGAGTCACGCCTACTGTAGGTGGGACTTCCCCACGTGTGGACTGAGCGTCTTTAACACACCGGGGTCCCGGGGTGGGATCTATGGGTGGACATATACAGTCAGGAGACGACTTCTCACATCTTCCTGGAGCTTGGTAAGTCTCAGGTTCACAGTGGTAGCCAGAGGAACAGTTCAACAGCTTGATTGAAAGAGAGTATCTAATCTTTAAAAATTCAATAAAAAGATTTAGATAGTGAATTTGAGATACGGTTTCCGAGAAGGTCTCGATTTTCTTTTAAAATGTTTCACTGCGGTACGAACAAAAACTGCCCTGAAAAAACATGCAGTTGTACGTCAGTGAAAAAAGATAATGAAAGTCTTTGCTCTATATTTCGGACTGCTTCGACCGATTCCGTACATCGAATCATTTTGACGATGATATACGGAAACACCCGAGGTTGACCGACTGACTGCCTACCTCGTCACACTGGATAGGATCACTCAGAGGACCAACTTCACAATACACTGGCGAAGTCACGCCTACTGTAGGTGGGACTTCTCCACTTACGGACTGAGCGTCTTTAACACACCGTGGTCCCGGGGTGGGGTCTATGGGTGGACATATACAGTCAGGAGACGACTTCTCACATCTTCCTGGAGCTTGGTAAGTCTCAGGTTCACAGTGGTAGCCAGAGGAACAGTTCAACAGCTTGATTAGAAAGAGAGTATATAATCTCAAAAGAATTCATAAAAACGATTCATATATTGAATTTGAGATACGGTTTCCGAGAAGGTCTCGATTTTCTTTTAAATTGTTTCACTGCGGTACGAACAAAAACTGCACTGAAAAAACATTCAGTTGTAGATCTACGTCAGTGAAAAACAAAATCAAAATCTCTCTTTGCTCTACAATTCGGACTGCCTCGGCTGATTCCGTACATCGAATCATTTTGTCGATGATATACGGAAACACCCGAGGTTGACCGACTGACTGCCTACCTCGACACAATGGATAGGATCACTCAGAGGACCAACTTCACAATACACTGGCGAAGTCACGCCTACTGTAGGTGGGACTTCCCCACGTGTGGACTGAGCGTCTTTAACACACCGGGGTCCAGGGGTGGGATCTATGGGTGGACATATACAGTCAGGAGACGACTTCTCACATCTTCCTGGAGCTTGGTAAGTCTCAGGTTCACAGTGGTAGCCAGAGGAACAGTTCAACAACTTGATTAGAAAGAGAACATATTCTCAAAACTATTGAATAAAAACTTAAAAATATTGAATCAAAATAAATTAAGTACTGAATTTGAGATACGGTTTCCCGAAGTTTTCTTTAAGATATATTTAACATTGGTACGGACTAAGGTTGCATTGTAATATTACATGCAGTTGTACATCATTGAAAAAAATAATCAAAATCTCTCTTTGCTCTACATTTCGGACGGCCTCGTCCAATTCCGTACATCGAATCATTTTGACCCGAGGTTGATCGACTGACTGCCTACCTCGTTACACTGGATAGGATCACTCGGAGGACCAACTTCACAATACACTGGCGGAGTCACGCCTACTGTAGGTGGGACTTCTCCACTTACGGACTGAGCGTCTTTAACACACCGTGGTCCCGGGGTGGGGTCTATGGGTGGACATATACAGTCAGGAGACGACTTCTCACATCTTCCTGGAGCTTGGTAAGTCTCAGGTTCACAGTGGTAGCCAGAGGAACAGTTCAACAGCTTGATTAGAAAGAGAGTATCTAATCTTTGAAAAATATTCAATAAAAAGATTTAGATAATGAATTTGAGATACGGTTACCCAGAAAGTCTCGATTTTTTTTAATTGTTTCACTGCGGTACGAACTGAAACTGCACTGAAAAAACGAAGTTAAAAGTCAGCGAAAAAGATAATGAAAACCTTTGCTCTAAATTTCGGACTGCTTCGAAAAATTCCGTACATCGAATCATTTTGACGATGATACACAGAAACACCCAAGGTTGACCGACTGACTGCCTACCTCGGCACATTGAATAGGCTCACTCCGAGGCCCAACTTCACAATACACTGGCGGAGTCACGCCTACTGTAGGTGTCACATCTTCCACACAGACCGGGATAGGCGAGATGATGGTGACGATTGTTGGACACAAACAATCTGGGGGCGATCTTATGCAGTATATTGGCTCTATGTAAAATTCTGGCTCACAGTGGAAACCGGTGCTGCAGTTCACAACCTACATGTTCGACAAAAGAGGAGGATTATTGTAAGGGTTGCTGCAGTAAGGGTTGTTTATGAAATTTCTTCTTATATAAAATATTTTTCAACGGATTATTCTTCGCTAACCAACCTTCTTTTTTAAACCTATAATAAAATATTAAAATAAATAAGAACAAAAATTTAATATTAAATATTTTTTAAATCAAAATTCAAAACGTACTTCTTGACAACGTTTCGGCTCACTCGGCTGACTAATCTTGCATGCTACAGGCGGAGTAACATCCGGCACACACATCGGTGGAGGGATACCTGTCAAAGGACAGACACAGCCAGGGTTCCAATTACATCTTCCCGCCTCTTGATACATTTCTGGCTCACAGTGCAAGCCATCGGAACAGTTTAGGAGCTAAAAGGACAGAATATATATGTAGCTGTAATTCAATATGATACAATCTATTAGAGGCCCTATTACTTTTTTTTGGTCAAAACCACCACGTTTCTTTCCATTTCTTTAATAATTTCTTTAAATTCCTACTAGTCTCTGAGTCAGATAGAATTTTATGCTTAAAGCATGTTGATTTCAAAGCATGCAGAAATTGTTTTTCAGGCGGTTTTGCCTACAATCAGCATTGAAGTTCGCCACCAAATTGTAATAAATACCTACCGTGTTACAAGGTACCGGTGGAGGTGGCGCCTCTACGTCACACACCATCGGAGACGTCTCCAAAACATCGGGCACACATTTTGGCATGAACGGAGGATGTATAGCTGGACATACACACCCAGGGGCTTGGGCACATTGGTCTGGCTGGGAAACGTTCGCCGGTTCACAGTGAAAGCCCTCGTCACACTGTACAAGCTATTCAGGAAAACGAAAGTATATTCACAACCGAGAAAGTGGTTTTATTCCTTATTGACTTCAATTTCCATTTATGAATTCATGTTAATTGTAAATTTTCAATCCCTTTTAAATGTTTACTTTAATTAAGGCTGTTTCTCATTATTGTTTTTATCAAACTGTGGGTGATCAACAGATGCTTACCGGAGGACGTGAATTTGATCAACCGGATAATATATTTGTACATGTATTAACATAGGAACATGTTACCGTTTCACAGAGAACTGGAGGTACTGGCAGCATTTTACATGGCACTGGGTCATCAGGCACACATATAGGTGGAGGTATTCCAGCCAGGGGACACACACATCCTTCTGTCTTTTCACAATCTCCTGGTTCTATAAAAGTCTTCGGTTCACAGTGATATCCAGCGGAGCAGTTTACGACCTGCAGCAACACAGCAGCGAACATTTTTTCTAATTGTTGAATGTAACATAAGAAGTCATTGCTTTTATCTTACTGGTTCTACATAAAATGATAGCAAAGTCTTGAAACGTCAGAGAAACATCGTTGTACACCACTTTGAGAGACTACAATTTTCTGCAGATGCGTTAAATATCGTATTGCTAAATTATATAATCAACTGGAGAAAAAACTGTAGAAACGGTAAGAGGGGACGTACCCATTCACATTGTATGGGAGGACTAGGAGGGCCCACATTACAGACAGGGGTATCACCATCCGGCACACACATTGGTGGAGGGATACCTGTCAAAGGACAGACACAGCCAGGATTCCAATTACATCTTCCCGCCTCTTGATACATTTCTGGCTCACAGTGCAAGCCATCGGAACAGTTTAGGAGCTAAAAGGACATAATATAGCTGTAAATCAACATGATACCATCTATCAGTGGTCATATTACAGTTTAAAATTTTTTTGTGGTTGTCAGAACCACCCTTAACACGTTTCTTTCTATTCTTTAATAAGTACTTAAATTCCTACTAGTACCTGAGTTAAATAGAATTTTATACGTGGAGCAAATTGGTTTCAAAGAATACAGAAATTGTTTTGCATACAACAAAGGACTGTATATTGCCAGTTCAATCAGCATTGAAGTTTGACACCCCAGTGTGAAAAATAAACCTACCGTATTACAAGGTACCGGTGGAGGTGGCGCCTCTACGTCACACACCATCGGAGACGTCTCCATAACATTGGGGACACATTTTGGCATGAACGGAGGATGTATAGCTGGACATACACACCCAGGAGCTTGGGCACATTGGTCTGGCTGGGAAACGTTCGCCGGTTCACAGTGAAAGCCCTCGTCACACTGTACAAGCTATTCAGGAAAACAAAAGTATATTCACAACCGAGAAAGTGGTTCTATTCATTTATTGACTTCAATTTTACCGATTTATTTTCATTTATGAATTCATGTTAATTGTAAGTTTTCAATCCTTTTTTTCAATTTTTACTTTATTTAAGGTTGTTTCTCATTATTATTTTTATAAAACTGTGGGTGATCAACAGATGCTTATCGGTGGACGTGAATTTGATTAACCGGATAATATATGTGTATATCTTTTCCGTATAGGAACATGTTACCGTTTCGCACAGAACTGGAGGCACTGGCAGCATTTCACATGGCACTGGGTCATCAGGCACACATATAGGTGGAGGTATTCCAGCCAGGGGACACACACATCCTTCTGTCTTTTCACAATCTCCTGGTTCTACAAAAGTCTTCGGTTCACAGTGATATCCTGCCGAACAGTTTACGACCTGAAGCAACAGAAACGTGAACATTTTTTTACCTGCACATTTAACAATGTAACGTAAGAAGTTAATGCTTTTATTTCAATAGTTCTATGAAAAATAATAGCAAAGTTTTGAAACGCTAAAGAGAAACATCGACGTATACTGCACTTCGAGAGACTACAATTTTCTTCAAGATGTGTCCAATATCGTGTCGCTAAACTTTATAACCAACTAAAGACAAAAACTGTAGAAACGGTAAGAGAGGACGTACCCATTCACATTGTATGGGAGGACTAGGAGGGCCCACATTACACACAGGGGTATCACCATCAGGCACACACATTGGTGGAGGGATACCTGTCAAAGGACATAAACAGTCAGGGTTCCAATTACATCTTCCCGCCTCTTGATACATTGCCGGCTCACAGTGGAACCCCGTGGAGCAGTTTAGGAGCTAGAAGTAAAGAACATAGCTGCAAATCTAACATGACACCATCTATTAAAGGTCCTATTACTGTTTATTATATTTGTTTGTTTTCTTTGTTTTTTTTGGGGGGGGGGTCTTGATTGTCAAGACAACCCTTAATACCGTTTATTTCTAGTACTATAATAAGTAATTAAAATCCTACTTGTCTATCAGTCAGTAAAAATTTTACTCTAAGAACATGTTGATATCAGCATATATAAAATCTGTTTTCCTAATGTCTTTGTTAACAGACTGTTTTGTGCCATTTCAATCAGCATTGAAAAAAGTTCGACACCACAGTGTGATAAAAAAAAACTTACCGTGTTACAAGGTACCGGTGGAGGTGGAGCCTCTACGTCACACACCATTGGAGACGTCTCCAAAACATCGGGCACACATTTTGGCATGAACGGAGGATGTATAGCTGGACATACACACCCAGGAACTTGGGCACATTGGTCTGGCTGGGAAACGTTCGCCGGTTCACAGTGAAAGCCCTCGTCACACTGTACAAGCTATTCAGGAAAACAAAAGTATATTCACAACCGAGAAAGTGGTTCTCTTCATTTATTGACTTCAATTTTACCGATTTATTTCCATTCATGATTTCCTTTTAATTGTAATTTTTTAATCCCTTTTAAAATTTTTATTTACATGTATTAACATAGGAGCATGTTACCGTTTCACAGAGAATTGGAGGTACTAGCAGCATTTTACATGGCACTGGGTCATCAGGCACACATATAGGTGGAGGTGTTCCAGCCAGGGGACACACACATCCTTCTGTCTTTTCACAATCTCCTGGTTCTGTAAATGTCTTCGGTTCACAATGATATCCTGCCGAACAGTTTACGACCTGCAGCAACAGAAAAGTAAACATATTTTAAATTGCTGAATGAAATATAGGAAGTCACTGCTTTAATCTCACTGGTTCTATGTAAAATGGTAGCAAAGTCTTCAAATGCCAAAGAAAAACATCGTTGTACACCACTATGAAAAAATAATTTTTCTGAAAGGCGTGTCAAATATCATTTTGCTAAACTATATATTCAATTATAGAGATAAAACTGTAGAAACGGTAAGAGACGACGTACCCATTCACATTGTATGGGAGGACTAGGAGAGCCCACATTACACACAGGGGGATCACCATCAGGCACACACATTGGTGGAGGGATACCTGTCAAAGGACAGACACAGCCAGGATTCCAATTACATCTTCCCGCCTCTTGATACATTTCTGGCTCGCAGTGGAACCCCGTGGAGCAGTTCAGAACCTTCGAATTAAAACCACTGTGAATGTTCATAATGCACTTATTTTACATGGATTCATGTCTACCCTGAATGAGACCTCCTAGACTTTTCAGAAAAGATATCACTGATAGATCCTATAGATGGATCCAATATTTCAAGAAGCTGGAATTTTTCCCCTTACCACCCAAGCGTGGAAGCTTCAGAAAATGGAGAAAAGATCACCCTTTCGACCCCTTCTTGTACATATGCTAGTAGTTTTGTGATGTCATTATGTGTTTTACCATGCTAGAGGTTAAGAGCAAAATTGCAACGGTAAATTATTAAAGCTAATATATGTAAGTATAATTAACGCTCAAGGCACTATGCCTACTCACAGTGTTGCACCGTACTGGCGGACTTGGTGGTTCCACGTCACAGACACTTGGATCAATGTTTGGCACGCACCTGGGTGGTTCTATTACTGGTGTCACACATACACAACCCGCGGGGAACCCGTCACACTCTCCGGCAACCGTTAAGTTAAAGGGCTCACAGTGCGTCCCACCCGGACATGTAGTTATCTGTTTGAGAAAAGAGATAGCCCTTTAAAAATATATTTTATAACCGGTGAAAGTGAAAAGGTTGGCATACGTCTTTCATTTAATATATATGCAACTAGTGATAGGGCCTAAGTAGCAAAAGTACCGAAACTATTCTTGTTTTGGCGCTTGTCCTCTCTTCGTTGGTCAGGCCAAATTGAGAGGCAAAACTTGTTTTGTGAAGGGACCCAGAAACTGGCAGACAAAAATATATGAAGATTATTGGAATTTGTTTTTTATTGGTATAAGGTGAATGAAAAGGCTCTATTGGGTGTTTAACGTGTAACAAGATCTATGGATCGGGGAGTGTCCGCGTACTGATTCTCTCACCGAGACTCATGACGGGAGCAGTAAATTTTATCACTTTGTACACGAGAGTCACAGAATGTACTTAAAAACTCACTCGTAGTCAGGGTGACGAAAGGTGTTCACTTTGTGGAGGAGACTTAAAAACCTGCCCTAACGGAGCATTTGCAACCATTAAGTGCTTCGTTTTTTCAAACCCTCAATTCAGTGTCCCCCAGTTGAAGGCTCTTTGAGGTCCGACCGGGCCTGCTGCAGTCGGTTATTTATTACCGTATCTATAAATTGCCTTAAATCTCTTTGCTGCAAACCTCAAATTGCTATATGCAGGTATATTTGTGGGGCCCTTTTTCTTAAATTAATGAAACCACCAGCTAAATGCATTGGTTATTTTCACTTACTCGTACATTAGACATGCAAGTCCAGGTTGCACCGGCAATAAAACATGAGGCACGGTAAATGTTGAAGCGACTGCATACCGTGTAATTGATCATTGAGACATATAACGCATGCCGTTTTTAAAAAAATATAGACAATTTTTGGATGATAAAACACTTAAGTTTCTCATTTAGTTACAGTACAGGAAGTGAGCCGTAAATCCCAGAACTGACATTAGTTTCGGCAGTGTATTTTATTATTAATTTTTATTATCGTATGCAGACCTTAACTCTGTCTAATGGATGAAGAGGCGGTGAGCTATGACTTCTACCCACTTATCGTTTTGTGTCAAGCTGATGCAGAGAAAAATTGTCATTCCAGTGGATTGCCCAGGACATCATTCTACTTGATTTTTATTCAAAGATTACTGATTTCAGAATGGCGACATTTTATGTACCCCTGGTGTGGTGCTTTGATGCGCTACGGTATCTCATCCCAAACTCAAACTGTTAAAATTCTCTATCACTGTTATTTAAATAATGTAAAACATTAAGGAAAATCAACATAAAGGGTGAAAGGAAATTATCCGAGAAAACTAAGTTTTGCAAAAAAAAAAAAAAAAATCAAGTGAGGCTTACCGTGTCGCAGGCAACAATTTTACCCGGAAGATGCCTGCAGGGCTCTTGACAAAATACGCCGGATAAAAGGACCTAAAGAGATGAGAATGATATTTTACGCACTATGGTAAAAATTGACAGAAAACAAAGATTTTTTAAAAATTATAAAATGCCCTCAACAAATATTTTAACATTTCTTAAAACACAACTTCACAACAGGGTCAGCTTTGTTTCTTGCTTTAAGAAAACATTTCCTTATATATTGTAAAATATACGTTTTTCATAGTTCCCTAACAGCAGTACATAGGGCCTTAAGATATAATTTGTTTTAACCATTGATCCGTCGACATCGTAAGGTAATGGGATTAACTATTTTGAATAAATGGCATGTGTGAAGTTGGTATTCATCACAAGGCAAAAGTATCGAAAACTCGATCAAAATCATAGAATCTACCTCGCCAGTAATTCCACCCCTGTGTTTAAGAAAGGTAATAGACATAGGGCGTATTCCCAGAGCTTTTAGATCGATCTATCCCCGCGGGGAGTCTCACTAGATTACTGTCAGATAATCCGGCTTAAATGTCCGTCCCGCCTACTACAAGCTGTAAGGGGGTAATTAACTTTCGTGCCCGCTCGGCTGACAGCTATTTAGCGTGAACCCCAAGGGAGTTAGGTCGATCTAAAGTAGATCGATCTAGTCTCTGGGAATGGGGTCTTACATAAGGTGTGGCAAAACGTCCCTATCTTTAGACATAACATTTACTTAAAACGCCAGAGAAATTAGGATTGTGAATACGAGTACCATTTATGAACGTCCCGTGTAAGGTGTTAAATGGTTCGTTATGCTTATTAAAGTCTATTTGCATTTATTTATTGCATTGCTCTACCTTATGTGGTAACTCGGCGCGTACTGAGAAATGCCAATTTTAAATGCGCAGACAGCCAAGTACATCTTAATGCCCCCTTTATGGGGATTCAACATGGTGTTGTGGATATATCCAGAACCATGACAGACATTTCAACAATTAAGCTCCATAAAATGTGACAATAGCCAAATTCTTATTACAAGGGTTTTCGACTTCTTATTTCATATATCTTTTTACTTTTTATACATTTATATATTACACTTATGTTATTCACATTCACATCAAAAATGAAAACTTTATTGTAATCAAATAAAAATTGACATGCCCTTTTGAACGGCAATTGTAATTTTACAGATATGTTAACAGAATCAAATATTGCCTTCCATTTTCATCTTTAATTTACCTCAATTATTTTCAAATCAATTACATTTTTTCATTATAGTTATTCTTTTACAAAGAAGAAACGCAAATCGGTATCAGTCTTATTTCAGTTTATTTTTTAAATTGGAAATGCTTTTAATTTTCCTGCTTTAAGAATCATTATTCCAAAAATAAGATAAGTTGCCTATAACTTTATATGAACCACGATCTCACAGGCAGATACTTACAGTAGCCACACATAACGCCAGCAACGTTCGTCCTCCATTCATCCTGTAGCAGTCTTTCTTCGTTAAATATTTATAGTGGTGCGGGGTTTTGTAGCGAATGTCTCAATGTGTAGTTTTAACACCCCAAAACCACCAGAATATTTTTGTCAGAGGGAACCCTGCTGGCTGCTACCTCTAGAGTACCACCACCCTTCCCGTCCAGTCACCCGAAGGCCAAGTCTCTTGGTGGTGGTTGGTAACTTAATGCAGCTGAGGTCTAAGTACATCTAATAGCGGTAATTAAATTTGTGGTGAATAAAAAATATGACTATTTAACCAGGGCCTTAAAGGTAAACTGGCATATTTGCACCTTGGGGTGCTTGCTTTATTTTTCTGAATGTTTAATTTATATTACATGGCTTTTAGGGTAATTCAAACTAGTTTTATGATCTTAGAGAATAAAATCCCCGACCTCTCTCGGAGTCAGATACGAGAGGAGATAAGAGGGGGGGAGCCCCAGTTCCCTTTTTCGAAAGACTTTGTTCCAAGATTCCCCCCCCCCCCCTTCGTACATTCACATTCCCTGATATTCAGACGAGCAAAGCTCAAGGCCATTTTGGAAATGAAACCTGTATTTTTATCTTTTAGTTTGTCAAGTAATTTCATCAAGCATTTAGCTAATTGTGTACGATCGGTAGTAATTAAGTTCAGTTTTCACATATACATGTATGCTGAGAGACGTTCTGTTCACCTGCAAAATTTTGTAATAAAAACGGATCTCCATCGGAGTCCATTAATGGTAGCAGCTACAAAAGATTAGCAGAGCAGAAGACTCTGATAATATTTTGACAAATTCAATTCGATTTAAATGTAAAAAAAAATGTCTATTGAAATGAAACACTGCAAGGACTGGTATGTAGGCAGTTCACGTGCAATATTTATATTTATTTAAGGAATAAGCAAAATAACTGTGTTGTAATGATACCGTTGTTTTGCTTAATTTACTATACGTCCAAATGATTGTGTTAGTTGCGCTTTGTACATTTTGGACAAATTTGCAATAACGTCACCACAACACCAGCGCGATAACATTTAACATGTTTTTACATTATTAACTGCTTGCATACAGTTGAACAAAACACAAGTCGACCAAGAGAAAAAAAACTGGCATTTTGGTGGGTGGGTGGAGTAGTAGCTAGGAGATAATAATAATAATAATAATAATAATAACAATAATAACAACAAAGTGAAAATGTATTCATTTTATCAAATTTCCACCAATTGATTAAAAAGACACAATGAACGTATGGCAGGTATTAAATTTTAGGAAAGAACAGTTAGGATGAAAACCCTCTGTTGGACCATAGAAGAAGGTTTCTGTGGTTAGACATATATCTTTTACTTGGCACGCATGTGTTAATTTTCTTGTTAAAATTTCTGCCGTCAAAACAGACGCTGCACGATGTCAATGCCGTTTTATCCTTACATACTAAATATCAATTATCACAAACATATTTCACTTTCGTTGCTTCTAGTAACAGGGAACTGGGTGTCCTTGTCAGTTTTCAAATTCTGAGTGGCCGACACTGCTTAGTTTCAAACTAAAAAAAAAAACTACATAAAGCTTAGATTTTCATTTACATCACATTTCCTCATTTCAAACCGACTGAGCACTGACGCATTTCTAGCAATTTAGTTTCGCAAATGAACGCTTTTTGCAAGCGGGGGCACTGCGGGATATCCAGTTTGTTATTAAAAAAAAAGATGAAAGATGTGACACATCAGTAAAGAAAAACAACTTTATACAAAAAAGTGGTTCCATCTGTGTATGTGCTATCTGAACAGGTCGCCTAATCACGGTTTTAAGCCTTTGAAAGCAAGTCTATTTATCTCTATGCTCAAATCGAGGACTTTGAAGGAATTAAAGAAAGTAGCGTGCCTTCAGTTTGTCTGCCTATGGTTTTTAAAAACCTAAATCAGAAGACTGAGATTGATTTAAGTCAATTCATCTTTAGTGGGAACAGACCTCTCAACTGTGACCATACAAAGCATTATATATATATATATATATATATATATATATATATATATATATATATATATATATATGTAATAATAAAAAATTGAAAAAATTGGGGGGGGGGGGGGGGAGAGAGTAAAAAATGTCAAACTTTTGAAAAA